AGGGTGCGGTCGCAAGTTCCCTCTGAAAGGATCCAAGGGCCTTTTCCGATATGTCAAACCAGAATTCCAAATTTGATACGCGAAGTACCGCAGCGCCGTTTGCGTCTTTGTAAAACTCGGCAGTCTCCATATCATCGAGTGCGCTGTTGTGGGCGATAGTTGCTACCGAACGTAGATCCTCTCCGCCTATCACCAGGCTTAGAAACAAGCCCTGCGCCACGACGTCTCTCCACAAGTACGCTGTGTCCAAGTACGGGACGAAATAGCCGATGTTGACATGAGGATGCTGCCGGCAGTATTCGGCCAGCTCGAACATGATATCTTTGGGTTCAAGCGATTGACTGAGCTCCGGCATCTGTCTATGAGTGCTTGTCCAGAGGCTAATGTCACCAAAATATCCCCGTTTAGTCGCTGCGCAGTTCCGGATGAACGTCAGGAAAAGTTGTCCAGGCCCGAATTTATCACTCCAATGGGTCATAAAGTGCACTCGATTGACTTGGAGCTCCAGCCCCGCGGTCTCCTTGTATAACTGGCGACAGGTAAATTTCAGCTCATTGAAGTGGTCTAAGCGGGAGAATCCGTAGGGGATGAAGCGTGGGATGTTGTGGCCGTCGAATCCGTCGTCGCTAGACACACCCTCATAGGACCTCACACCGCTGTCGAACTTCAAACCGTCGTCGTCGTCGGTCTGAAGTGCGTACTCGTATATGCGGTTGCGTAGCTCGCCAGGCAGCCGGAGCAGAGGGGATGCGCTGTTGGCGAGGGCAGGATCTGCTGGCTTACATTGGGGCGCGTCGTTGGGCGGTATTGAGGGCATCTTCGAGCTTTACAATCTGTCAGCAACTGCGATATGGGAACGAGGCCGGTGAGTGACTGACCTGGGTGTGGTCTTGGAGCTTGATGAGAACGAGGCGCGCTTCTCGCGGTACCAGCGACGCAGACGATGTCGAAGACCTCCCTTCATGTCGGCGAAGGGAACGATGCACTGGAGTTGAATACCCAGTGCGCGCGGATGTCGTTGTTTGGCGAAATCTCTGCGCGGGCTGGGGAGCGAAGATTCTCGCCGTGTCGGATCTTTGTCACCTTCACTTTGTGCACGGCCCTCGTCCTCTAGCCCGCCTAGTGTGCTATCGATGTCACAGTATTCGTCGCGGCCATACCCACTATTGCATCCGACGACTGAGTGCAGCCCCGTACCGAGCACTTCGTTCACAGCGACTGACCATCGCACCCGGTGCTGCCAGCTATGCAGGCGACCAAGCATGCGCCCGCACACATGCTTTCGATTGCGGAGTATTTAAGATCATGTACATCGACTGGCCGCACCAGGACTGCTTATTGAGCGCCATGCGACTGCTCCATCTGCCAGACCCAGTATCGCAACTTCGATTGTCAGTCCATTGACGAGTATGCCTACGTGGAGAGCGCAGCTGGATTTGGAAGATTGTAAAACTTCCTGATTAGCCATCTGGCCGCTACCCCGCTTCCGCGCACTCATTCACGCTGATAGACGCCTCTACAGCATACTGAATCCCCTACATGCGCCTACGTAATCATGTATCTTCGACGTATCATGAACCCTTGAGGCATTCGTACACTCGTAATCTTACAAATGTCGCTCGAAATGACAGCGCATACCTCCAGGCTACAACGTGACAGAGACGAAGTCATCATTTCTTGTACCTCCTGCTTTGGAGCTGCGGTCTTTAAGACAGCGAGAGGAGAGCAGGACACATATCATAGTACTCGCTGTTTGTGAGAAAAAGAAGAAGCGCACATGTAAAGATCGCGTTCTTATTTTAGGTGTTAAGAGGGTGACTTGTGATTGAGAAAAGAGAAGTAGAAGGTACTGGGTTTTATAAAGACACCCAGGTACTTCAAGTCAAGCCCTTGTTCTTGTCTTCTCGTAAACTCGAGTTTCGACACTTTTGGAGAGGGAACAATTGACGCCGACGAACAACGTCATCCACTTGTACTCGCGCGGGTTTTCGGGAAAAGGAAGTTCCGCACTCATCAAATTCCCTGCTATCGATTTCGGGAACAGATAGTGTCTGATAAAGTGGATGGGGTTTGTGGAGAAGCAGTCCACATGTCCTAGCGGCTAGACATCTTTGAAGTGTGCCGAATCGATCGAGATTGGAGAGCGAGCAGCCAAAGAAGAGCGACCATGTGCACAGTGCAATTGTACTTTTTGAAAGAGCAGGGAAGAGCGCACATAGAATCCGACGATTAGGATTTTTGGAGAAAGAACCAGTGGAGTGTGATGAAGAAGAGAAAGAAGGCAGAAGAAGGTGTGTTTTATATCACATTGACGCACTGAATCCGCACTGGCGTGGCAGCCGGAGCATCGGCAGACACCATGAGGTCGTCGACATGATCTTTTACATAGCGGACTCTACTCCACAATCATTCCCTGGTCGTCGTGGCTTTTTGACAGAACCTTGGAACAAACACATGTTCGGTCCAGTGAATACTTTTGAGCCGCTGAAGCTGTTGCGTTCTAAAGAAAGCGGAAGGGAAGAGTCATGTCCTCGATCTTGTGGAAATTCTGTAGCACATGCAAAGGTCTTGGTAGTCTTTCAGGCGTATGTACCAGAATAGACCAATTTCAGAAATGATGCGCTGGACAGGAGAGAGATGAACATAATATCCCTGCCTCCGGATTTTGAATTGCAGAAGACTGGAAGAGAGGGCGATCATAGGGGTTACGCCGCTGCATTTTTGAATAAAGCTCACTGGGATTGAGGAAGAGAAGAAGAACGGAGTCGGGATGTGGTTTTTATACACCAGCGCGGGTTAGTGTTGGCTTTAGGCTCGGGCAGCGAGATGATAATGCGGAGAGCGCGGAACAGATCGATCATATGATCGTTTTTGGTTGCATTCCGATGCTCTTTGAGGAGCGACCAAGTCTTTTCGTTCACATAAAATCTTCGCTGGGACAGTTTTGGTGGTAGGCGGCGGAGAAACGAGCGAAAGCCATGTTTCAGTAGCGGGGCCAATTTGGATGTTTTCAGAAGCGCAGAGAGCAGCAGCCATAAAAGCCTACGCTAGACCTTTTTGAAAGATTACCATGCGGTAGGTGTAGTGAAGAAGGAGAGAAATCCACGAAGTGGAAAGGCTTTATACGTCTAGATGCTCGTTCCAAGATAGGCCCAGGCAGATACATAAGTCTTAAAACGGCCCAAGAGCGCGGAAACAGGGTGTTGTAGGCGGTAGGCTTCGGTGTACTCGTCACTCAGACGTCTCATGCGACTAGCCTCGGCACTTTTGAAATGCTGTTTTTGAATGGCGAAAGGACCGCGGACAAACACATCGCGAGATTGTATGCTATTCTGGGGAGTTTCTGGAGTTGTTCGCCGAAGGGACGAGACAGAACAGCATGATCTACTCGATCAGATGTTATTTTGGTGGCATCGGCAGAAGAAGAACATAGTAGACTTGTCGAGAGATTTGTGTTTAAGAGAGAACGCAACGACGCAACATACGCAGTGCCAGTTGGTTATTTTTGACCATACATGCTGGAAAAGCGAGACAAAGCGGCAGTCATCGACCAAGTCGATCGACAGTTCTTAACAGAGTCGGCAGGAGAAGCACATCCACACCATCCAGAGTGGAGCTGTGTGTTTTGGAACCAGCAGCACAACTGAACATCAGCGGAACAAGTCCATCTTTTTGAAGGAACAGCGGTCATGCACTTGTCGCATACTGCTTTTGGGAAAACCGAACCGGAGATCGCATGACGAGTAAACTTTTCTATTTTGATGCTTTTAGAAAAGCTTAAGATATTCAGTCGAAGTATTGGAAACTAGATCGGAAGGGTGAACCTCTCGGAGAGAACATTGAGCCGCGGTAGTGTGTTTTTAGTAGATGGATCTGCGCCGAGAGAGATCTCGAGAGAAACGCAGTCATGGCTACATAGTGTGCAGGTTTTTGAACAGAGCGAACCAGAGAAGACATGTTCCCGACTAATCGATCTTTTGGGTGTACTAGAGAGAGTCGTTGAACTCCATGGACATGTCAACAGATGGTCCAAGAAGGCAAACGTCTCGGAGAACACATTCCAGGCCGTGTATTGTATTTGTAGTTCGATAGAGCTGCACCGAGGTCGAGCGACGGAGCGCATAATCGGTGCCGCTACCCGTTTTTGGAAGAAAAGATCTTGCCAGGCGCAACATCAGTATCGCAACTGCAAGTTTTGGGTGAAACGACGACAGTTGCGAGGGACGACATGGAAGTCTCCCTAGTATGTTTTGGTAGAAGTTGAGGAAGACAGAGGAAAAAAGCAGCCATGGAATATCCGATGATGAATTTTTGGAGAAGCAAGATTCTCAGAGCAAACATGCATAGGTCTCCAGGCCCTTTCTGGTAATAAACTGTGCAAAGAAGTCATCATATCTGCGCGATCGATTTTTCGGAAGAAGAAAGTCTCGGAGAGGACATTCAAGTATTGCCGGTGATTTTGGTGAAATGGAGTTCACCGAGAGATAGAAGCGGCCATATTGGAAGGTGGAAGTCGTTTACAAGACAGGAATCCCAGGAGAGAACATAGGAATCGATCTTGGTCGATTTCAAGGAGGCCAGCGCGGACAGATGGAGCAGCCATGATCTTTTTTTGCTAGCCGTTCTGGAAGAGGACTTCCGGGAGAGAACATAGATTCTGAAGTGGGTGATTTTGGTAGAGACCGGCGCGGAGAGACGGAGAAGCCATGGGTTCTTTCTGGTACATTTTGGAAAAGAGGAGCTTTCGGAGAGAACATGTGATCTTGCCTCTGATATTTTGGTAGAGAAAAGGAAGGACGAAGACGCAGCCATTGTACATGGCCGGGGCATTTTGGAGAAAGACCTTTTGAAGTGGATAATAGGAAAGAAGAAGAGAAGCGTCAAAAGTCGGCCTTTTATACGTGCTCTCCGGCCAGAAAGATCAGATGGCTGACACATTCGACACCGATCTCATTATCCCACTACATGCGTCACCCGCCTTGCACCACATTTTCCAAGCATCACGCCTCGATAACCTCCTTCAGCGCCTTTGCACTGCTTTCCAACTTGCCCTTCTCCTCCTTATCTAGCGGCATGTCCATCTTCCTAACCACGCCCTTCCTGCCCAGCACAACCGGCATACTCAAGCATACACCCAGGTCCTCTTGATACGTGCTAACAGGCCTTACGATCTTCTCATCAAAGATGATCGACTTGCAAATACTCGCCGCCACACCACCGATCCCATAGTTTGTCGCGCCCTTGTTCTCGATGATGGAAGTTGCTTTGTTCTTCGTCTCCTCCGCAATGTCGTTCTTGTCCAACGCGCCTGATTGCTTGGACGATAACGCAGAAGACAACGGGACACCGCCGATAGAAGCCAGACTCCAGGCAACGAATTGAGATTCACCGTGTTCACCCAAGACGTACGCTTCGATACTAGACGCCGCAACTTCCGCTTTGGACGCGAGGATACCACGAAGGCGCGCAGAGTCAAGGAAAGTGCCGCTGCCGATAACTTGGGATTTCGGGAGACCAGAGTATTGTTGCGCGAAGTAGGTGAGCACGTCGACGGGGTTTGCGACAAGTAACAAGACTGTATCCTCGCGGAACGGCTTCATGTCCGAGATTGCGGACTCGAGAATGGACTTGTTGCGGCCGATAAGATCGGTCCTGCTCTCGCCCTTCTTCTGTTTCGCGCCAGCGGCGATAACGACGATATCGCATTGACCCGCTTCCTTGTGCGTGCCTGCTCTTATCCGGGTGCTGGTGTTGCCGTGGAAGGTAGCGTCTGACAAGTCTGCGACTTGAGCGTCTCGGACTTCTTCTTTGGGATCGACGAGCAGGATGTCACCGGCGACGGGGTTCATGATGAGGCTGTATGCGATTGTGGCGCCTACATCGCCGGCGCCGAGGATGGCGATGGAGGAGGTGTTCTTGGGGTCTGACATGATTGGGCGGCGGGGTGTGTAGAAGAGGTGAAATCAGATGGAATTGGAGGGGTAGAGGGGTGGTGTTGGAAAAACGACGGGAGTACCTGGTGGGTTTGCATTCCTTCTTCTTCTGTAGTCTGGTAGTACAAGCTATTGAAGTACGTCATCGTGATGGCGCTAGTGCGTTTTCAGTCCGTAGACAACCGGCCTATCGATACGCTGGTGAGGAAGTTGCGATGGTGGATTACCTGAACATGACTGACCAGCCTCAGCTCCTCATCACAGCCCCCATTCCCTCACAGTCCGTACAATCCTCCTCCCATGTTATCCACTCCATCCTCTCACACCCACTCCACGTCGTCCTCCCGTCTCGTACGACGCGTCGTGGCTCGAGGTTGGCGTTGAGGCTGTTTCTTGGCTGTCTTGACTGTCTTGACTGGCTAGGAGGGCTTAGCATCATAGTCCATGAATAGAGCCAAGTGAAGCAAAGAATGCATCGCAAAATTCAAGTGCTCAATCAAACATTCAATCAGTGCTCAAGCTACCTTGGGTGCGGGTGCTGCAGCCGGTGCAACCACTTTCTTCCTCGGCTGTGTAGCCAGGCCCTTCTTCAGCAGCAGAGGTATGACGTCCGTCGCTTTATTCCGGCTGATGGTCTTTCGGCAGACGGGACACTGCGAGCGCTTCGTTTCGTGGGGCCCGGTGCGGTTCTCGCCAGCGATGAGGGCTTCCATGAGGCACGTGTGGCAGAAGAGGTGGCCTGAACAATTAGCAAAACACTTGTGAGGTATGCATTGTACTCACCACATGCAGTAGCCGTAAGATCTGTAGGGTTGTCCATGCAGATGACGCAGTTGAACGAGTTGAAGGTGGTGACGGTCTCCTCTGGCTTTGCCTGCGCCTTGACAGCATCTTCCCGCTGCTTCTGCAGGGCTTCTTGCAGCGGCGTCTTCTGCTCCGTCAAGTCGAGCTCTTCAATCTTCTCAGGCTCGGCGCTCTGCTGCTTGACTTCCGTAGCTGAGCCGTCGTCCCGCTTCTGGCGTTTTGCTGAGGGGCCCGGGGTGGGCGACTGCGGCTTCCTCCTCCGCGGCGGTGATTCGGGAGCGCTTGTGAGGTCGACGTAGCCATTTGCGAGGCGGTCAGGCCGTGCGCGTGTGGCGGGCGGCATGTCTCCGGTGAATGGGCTGTAGGGGCGCCAAGCGAAGGGTGAATAGCGTCCGTGGTCGAGGCCGGCTGGATTGAGGATGTGGTCGAAGAAGCCGGTGGAGTAGGGCACGGGCGGGGCGCGGTAGACGTCGTCGAGGTGGTCCTCGTCGGCGGGGGCGCTGTAGTGGCCGAAGAGCTCGCCAAAGTCGAAGGCCTCGGGGGAGTAGTGGTTGTGGTGGTGGCTCTCGGGGGTATCGAAGTTGGCGTCGTCGAGTGGGTGGGTTATGTCATCGTCGTCCCTGTGAGAGCGGTCGGCCGACATGGTGGCGAGCGCAGGCCGAGGGGGCGGCAGCGGGCAGGTCAGGAAGGGCAACGTGCTCCTTCACCATCTGCGTAGCTGCTGGTCTGGGCATGGTGTCGCAGTCCCGGGGGCTTGGTGACGCAAAAGCAGCGGCCGCCATTCGGCTCGGGCGTGCTATATCATGCATCGCGTAGGGCTGAGGGGAACTGCACCGCGCCAAGAGTCTGCGGGTGAACTAGACACTGAACATGACGACACCGAATTGCAACCTCGACTACGACAATTCAACCCGCCGACGCCATGCAGTGACCGCCGTATTCCAGTCTGACGATGCGCTGCTCATGTCGCTCCCTTGCCGCCCACGCCGCCCGCCCGCGACCCGTCCATGCGCAATCACATTTCGCCAACGCCGCCAAACGATGTCTCGCCACAGTCCAGTCTACACAATCTCCGGATGCAGACGGTAGCAATGCAAGGGGCAGTCTGAGCGGTGCGACAGTCAATGCGTCTTTGTCAGTCCCCTCGGAAGCCCGCTTCAGTCCCATCGGCGTTCAGCATCTTTCCTCGCACATTCACTCGCAGATCTTCCCCGGCGCAAGCACCCAACCACCACCCGAACTCGTCGCACTGTCGCAAGACCACCTCAGCCGCCATGACTTGCTCGGCAAGAACCAGGACCAGACCCCGCCGGTTGGGTTCGACCTGCCGGAACTACAAGGGACCAGCCTCGACGAACACTTCTACAAGCTAGGCATGGACACGGCGGAACCGTACTTGAGCATGGCAAAAAAGCTGGCATGGGCGAACCCTCCACCAAAACCAACAAAGTGGGTGCGACGGAGCGGCTGGACCAAGTACAACAGCGACGGCACCACCGAGGCCGTGGATGCGCCCGACGAGACGATGCTCACGTTCGACACCGAAGTCATGTATAAAGTGACGCCCTTCGCCTGCATGGCATGTGCCGCCAGTCCTACCGCCTGGTATGCGTGGTTATCGCCGTGGCTGCTGGGCGAGACCAAGTCAGATCGTCACCTCATCCCACTCGGCGACACCTCAGTCCCCCGCGTCATCGTCGGACACAACATTGGATACGACAGGGCTAGGATAGCGGAGGAGTACAATATCGCGCAATCGAAGAACGCGTTTGTCGACACCATGTCCCTCCATGTAGCCTCCAACGGCATGTGCTCGCGCCAACGCCCGTCGTGGATGAAGAATAGGAAGAGCCAGGAGGAGCAAGACAAGGCAGCCACGTCGGAGGAGAACGCTGGCCTTTCCACAGTCCTGGCAGGCCCTACCGAAGAAGAGCTGTGGATGGGAAGAAGCGCCATCAACTCACTACGGGATGTGGCCAAGTTCCATTGCAACATCACACTCGACAAGGCGCAGAGGGAGTACTTTGGTGAGAAAGACCGTGCGGGTGTCAATGATATGCTGGAAGACCTGCTCTCCTACTGTGCTGCTGATGTAGAAATCACGCATCGTGTATATCAAAAGGTCTTTCCGCTGTTCCTCGAAACATGTCCGCATCCTGTTAGTTTTGCCGCATTGCGATTCCTGGCTGCCGAGATTCTACCTGTCAACGAGACGTGGGATGCGTATATCCACAACGCCGAAGCGACATATAAACAGCTCGACGATGCTGTGAAGGAGCGGCTGGTGGCGTTGACGGAGAAGGCGTTGGAGGTCAAGGATCAGCCGGAGGTGTATGAGAATGATCCTTGGTTAAGTCAGTTGGACTGGTCAGGGCAACAAGTCAAGATGGTCAAGGGGAAGAAGAAGGGCGATCCACCGAGACCAGCAGCCCGTCAGAAGAAGCCAGGAATGCCAAAGTGGTACAAGGATTTGTTTGCGAAGAACGACGCCCCGATGGCTCTTACGGTCCGCACACGCATCACGCCGATTCTGCTGAAGCTGGCCTGGGATCGCAATCCTCTGGTGTGGTCGGACGTACATGGATGGACATACAAGGTCCCATTGGATGAGGCCTTTGCCTACGACGACAAGGGTTTGAAGGTCTTGGACATGTCTGAGGAAGAGAATCTGAAGCTGCGGGATGACAGCGAGTATGTCTACTACAAGATCCCACACAAGGACGGACCGCTCGCAAGGTGCGCCAATCCACTCGCTAAGGGCTATCTGCAGTATTTCGAGAAGGGAAAGCTGGGGTCGGAGTATGCGTATGCCAAGGAAGCACTTGAGATGAACGCATCTTGTTCGTACTGGATCAGCGCGAGGGAGAGAATCAGGAATCAGATGGTCGTCTACAACAAGGAGGTACCCAATCCGCCGAAACTCGTATCTGCATCCGGCAAAGGTGCTGGAAAGAAGGTCGGCTTCATCCTCCCACAGATTATACCAATGGGCACCGTCACGCGGAGATCGGTCGAGAATACCTGGCTCACGGCTAGTAACGCGAAGAAGAACCGCGTCGGGTCGGAGTTGAAGTCGATGGTACGAGCTCCTCAAGGATACTGCTTTGTCGGTGCAGATGTCGACTCGCAGGAACTATGGATTGCTAGTTTGATAGGTGATGCGACGTTCAAACTCCACGGCGGAAACGCAGTCGGCTTCATGACGCTCGAGGGAACCAAGGCGGCGGGGACAGACTTGCACTCTCGCACAGCCGCTATTCTGGGCATCTCGCGAAACGACGCCAAAGTTTTCAACTACGGACGTATCTACGGTGCAGGTCTGAAGTTTGCGTCTACCCTCCTCCGCCAGTTCAACCCTTCCTTGTCGGACGAGCAGACCTCCAAAACAGCAGACGATCTCTACAAGAACACCAAGGGAAAGAAGACAAATCGGAAACAACTCCACGAACGAGCCTTTTGGCGCGGCGGCACCGAATCTTTCGTGTTCAACAAGTTGGAAGATTTCGCCGAGCAAGAACGACCTCGCACACCTGTCCTAGGCGCAGCCATCACCGAAGCTCTGCAACGGCGGTATCTGTCGAAAGGCGGCTTCATGACGAGTCGAATCAACTGGGCGATTCAATCTTCCGGCGTCGACTACCTCCATCTCCTCATCGTATCCATGGACTACCTAACTCGCCGGTATGGGCTCGACGCTCGCCTCGCCATCACCGTCCACGATGAGATCCGGTACCTTGTCAAAGAAGAACACAGGTACAAAGCAGCAATGGCGCTGCAGGTTGCCAATGTCTGGACAAGAGCAATGTTCAGTCAGCAGATGGGGATTAATGAGTTGCCCCAATCCTGCGCCTACTTTTCCGCCGTCGACATTGATCACGTCTTGCGGAAGGAAGTGGACATGGACTGCATCACGCCGAGCAACAAGGAGAAGATACCGCATGGTGAGAGTCTGGATATCATGGCGCTATTGGAGAAGGGCGAGGAAGCGCGGCTTGACCCCGCTTTCGTGCCCAGCGAAGCCGACATGCCAGCACCAGAGAAATACACTCACGCTTTCACCCCACGAACACCTATCATGACAACCCTTTCGCGCGGCGACGCAATCGGCGACCCAACCGCAATGGCGTATCTCAAAGCGCAAATTTCCTCTTCCGATCAGGAACTCCGCGACATCCTCCGACCCCTCCGCGCAACACCCACACCGCGCACCAACAAGACTTCAAGTAAGAGCAAGAGTGGAAGTACGGCCGGAAACGAAGTCTCAGATATCGAGCAAGAGAACCGCGAGATCCAGAGACAGGTTAGGCAGTTTGAACAAATGGCCAAGCGGTCTGCTGCGAGTGATCCTTGGAAAGAGGTGTACAAGCGCGCGAATGCGAGCACGAAGGCTAAGGCGAAGACTCCGGGTGAGTGGTGGCAGAATGGATATACGACGCACAACAGGAGTGCGGTGAGGAGCGCGAGAGTATGATTCATGTTTCTTGTACGCTTTTCTTGTAAGATGATTGTATAGCAAAACTTCATGTACGGGACGAATAATGGTTTTGAATGGGCTGGGTGGATTTGGCGGCGCGACGCATTGGTTACTTGCATAGGTTCGGCGCATCGTTCCTTCCACAAATGGACATTTGGTTTGGCGTTCATCTCATCCTGTCTTGTTTCTGCAGTCACGGGGTCTAGCGGGGTATAAAAACCTCTCTTCCGCGCCGTTCTTCTTCTCTTCTCCATCATACCTTCCATCGTCCATTCTCCAAAAATACCACCTTCACCGAATCATGACTTCGCCGGTCTGGCTTTTCCAAAATCCTTACCGACAAGGACCATGTGTTCGTCTGTCTTTCTGGTTTCGACATACACATCGAAAACTAGATATCAAGAAACACATAGCTTCTGGTTCTGGTCTTTCCAAAACACACGTGATCGTCAGACATGTCCTGGTCTGTCCTTGCCGCCGCTACTATCAAAATTCACTATGTGGATGCGTATGCCTCCTTCTCTTGGTCTTTCCCAAAACTCTACGTGTTCGAAGTAATGTGTCCGCCTGTCTTCGCGCTCTCTACCTGCTGACATCCAAAACTTAGACGACCAAGACTATGACTTCCTTCCTGCTGGCCTTTCCCAAAATTCCAGCATTTCCAATACATGTGGTCGCCTTCTTGCGCAATTTAAAACTCCAAAACTCTAGGTCTGACGACGACATGACTTCAACCGCCTGCGTTTCCGAAAATCACAGGACGGTCAGGAGTATGCTGGCATCAACCGGGGCTTTCAACATCAAAACTAAGATGGCTTTTGAGGTATACATACATTTCTGGCTATCCAAAATCGCAATGCAAGAGTTTGATGTCTCTGCCTCGGCCTGCAATGCAAATATTCCAAAAGTTCATACCCACTATGTATGTTCTACGCCGATTGACTACCGAAGGCGCATCCTGCGAAAAGGCGATGTAGACGTCTTGGCCAGGGCCCGAGAAGACTATATATTCTCGCCGATGAGCGAAGGCAGAGACTACATCTCTCTCCTAGTTGAGAAGTACTAAAACTGTATTAGCAAGATTCGATGTCTCTGTCCTTCTCTGCGGTCTCTGACTTCAAAAACCCTATCACATCGAAATTATGTTTTCCGCTATCTTTACTGCGGCATTATCTCGTCTACAAAACGTACATTGTCGTCGCGATGTATTCCCCGCAGCGCACGAAGAATGTCCTTAGTTACCTCCTTAGTATTGCGAAAACGTCAAAAAGAACGAGACTTAAATCTCATGAAGTTGGCGTCCTTCTCTCGGTCTTCAAAACGGGTTCTTCGACCGTCTTATGCGTGTGCGACTCTGCTGCAGCGCTTGACTCGTCTGCAGAAAGAAGGGTGATGCTGACCGATGGTGTCGTCTCGCGCGCTCGTCATTTACTATCATGGAATGGGGGCGCGATGATACCTCCCCAAAACAGCGCCAGCGGATTGGTATGACATCCCGCCTTGATGATTCCCCAACTACATATACTGAGCAGAGAGTCCGAGACTGGTACAACATCTTGCGCACTTGATGAATATCCAAACCCGACTATGGTCATTACTATGAGCTGGCTTCGCGTGGTCTTCCAAAATTCAGTTCTCGACTTTCTATGATTGCGACTTTCTGCACATCTCACAATGTTTTTTCGATGTCAAACCAACATCGTAATGGCATCATGGCGCTCGATCGTCGAGGCCTTTAGCTTCTCGTCGCTATGTAAGATGACGAGCAGGATATTCTCGTACACCGTGGTTAGTTACCAAAAAGAGCTGAAAAAAGACATCATGGAGTGAAATCTCCTGTCTCTGTCTTTCAAAACGCGAGATAAACTCTTTCATATGTCTGGGCCACTCTTTTGATGTCTTTATAACACCGAAATGGATCACAGACCTTGCCATGGCGTCTTCTCGCCGAGCTAGCTGTTCTTTCCACAATACAAAGCACGAGTACATGTATAATCTCGCATTGTATGGAGAATCACCGAAGTCAGAGGCCAATAAAGTCATGGAGTTGGGTCTCTTGTGTGGGCCCTTTCAAACATGCCGAAGCAGCTTTCCATGTTGCAAGACTCTCTCGTATCACCGTATACTCTCAAATCGCCACAGCGAATATTGATGCAGCCCGAAGCCTTAGCCTTTTAACGCGGTTGACTATTCTCGGATGCGAGTGACGACAACATCGCAAATATTGGCAAGCCGAAGGACGCACGAGATGGGACGAACACAAAAAGAGTAGTGAGACGCTCCTGCCCTTTCACTCAATGATGTCACGGGTCGCGAAAAGCTCTTCGCGAGTCTGCCTGGACCTGTATAGTCGCTAGCGTGACTGCCACGAGTGTTTGTTGTATCCCGCCTTTCTTGTTATCACCCTCTTGCCTTTCCCGTCGTCTTCCAGTCGCCCATCTCATTGCCGACACCAACGCAAGAATCAACATGAATGCCGCATTCGAAACACCCTTTGACGAGTGGGAGGAGAAGGCCCAAGACCAGGTAACAACCCCCATGCTAAGCTGAGAGAGACCTCCAACTGACAGGCTTCACTCATCTAGATTGATCACTCCAGATACAGCAAGCTCGCTTTGAGGCTCGACGAGGATGGATGGCTGCCTCTAGTCCGCGCCGCATACGATGACGAGAAGCCCACCGACAACAATTTCGCCAAGCGCTGCAGCCTCGAAGATTGGATTAGTGTTTCCGATGACGCCTTGTCTACCGTCGAACCCGCGATACTCAAAGCCATTTGTGCTGGAGACGTGAACGCCACGGTCAAAGGCGATAGCGGCCTGCGCAAAGTCATCCAGTCGTACGAAGACCGCGCCGACATCCAGGCGACTATCTACCTGCAACAGATGACGGTTGGTATGGGACAAGAGGCACTTTCTGTCACTCACGCACGCGACCTTGCTTTGGACGCTATGCAGTACGCGAACCAAGATACCTCAGACAGCGCTGCGGATATGGCGTATGCGATCGACAAGAAGGCGCTTGATGGAGACTGGCATATTCGCTACACCATCAGCGGACGGCGCCACTTCATCGAGGGCAGCAAAGGCGAGGTCAATGTCGGAAAGAAGCGAGTGCTGCAAGGCTTTTCCCGCGCGTTGACTCGGCTCGCCGACCAGGCCGAGAAGGACAACAAGGCCTATATTCCTTTCCTACAGTTCATCGGCTACGCAAGAAAAGGCCATCGAGAAAGGTCGCAAGACGGAGACACCTTGACTGGAACGAGTTCGCTGCTCGCCTTCACCAAATGCTGTCTTGAGAGCTGGAAGAGCTTCACCCCGGTCGAGATGCATCACTTCACTATCTGTCTGATCCCCGATGACACTGGCGGTCCTGTCGCCTATATGCTTCTTGCCCGCCTTGCACGCGCATACTACTTCGCTGGCGGCCTCAGCATCGGTAAAGCAGAAGCCAGTAGTTTGAGCCTCGGCCTGAGCAAGTTCAAGCCCCAGGAACGCGGAAATGTGTGGATGGCGAACACCCAATGGGTCAAAGACCACGCTAACTACGATAAAACCTTGGAGAAAGAGGTAGCTTCCCGTACAAAGCTGCAGAAGGCCGAGTACGAGGCCGGCATGAGCGCAGAAATGGAAGAAAGCACCGACTTCAAAACAAGGCTCCAGAGCATGCGTGAAGCCGTTGAGGAGATTCGAGAAGAGCACAAGCTGCTAGACGATTGGCAGGAGTTTGAGGAGAATTTTCCGGATGAATACCAGGAGTTCAAGGAGTTGGAGAAGTTCGCTATGGAGATGACGAAGGCGCTCGCTGAGGTTGCGACATCATGATTTCTGCTACCTACCTTTTTGTTTGGGTTGTGTGGTTTGATACATTCGAAGTAGTAGGAAATTTGGAGTGGTCGTTGAAAGAATAGCGTGACTGCACTAGCTAGCTGGTGTCTTTGGGCACAGTCAGATGTTATTAAAGCTTACATTGACGCGGGCAGATGAGTAAATGGGACTTCCTCGTTTACTGATGCTGCAATGTAATCTTCACCAACCGACGCTCAACGTTCCTGATTACCTAAATTTTCGGACGTTATCACATGTACCCCAGCTTAAGTTGTTCTGTTTCGAATCTTAGATCTTGGTCAGCTGCGGTGATAGGAGGACGTCGTCTCTATTCGGAAAAACATATCTGTGAGGTGCGATCAGTGGTTGATCACTGTGTCCCTTTCACTCAAAGGTTACACGCTTGGACAGTTTCGCGAGCGCGAAAATCTCTTCGCGCGCACCTGCCTGGACTTCACATGGTCGGTACCCAAACCAGCTCAAATTCACACTTGCCCTCTCCCATCTTCATCCATATTTCTCTACGCCTGAACTCGCGACCTATCTGACCCAAGAATGGTGGGTTGCACGGACAGGTTCGTTGCCTATATGCGCACCCTTGCCCATCCGAGCAGGCAGGTGCACCAAGCGGTTGCGCAGCCCTTTCAACCTACCGACGTCGAGAAGAAGCACGAAGAGGAAATCGATAAACGGACTGCTCTCACCAAGCGTCACGCCGAGGAGCACGCCGACGAGAAGCAATCTCGCGTTCTTCTACTACAAGCCGCCGCATTTCGCCAAAAGCTCAGGGATGTTGAGGCCAAACACGCGAACCAACTGAGGGCAGTTCTGGACGGGCAGGAAGAGCTGATGAGGCAGAAAGAGGAGCTCGAGAAAAAAATTGAGAAGCTCGAGATTGAACAACGAGAAGCGTTCAACAGGTGAGTAACAATGAAGATCGGTATCGCCAGATTCAAAGGTTACTAACAGTGTCGCAGCTTCACCGCACAGCGCGCCAAACAAAGGAGTAGTCATCACACGATCGTAAAAAGGCTCGGAGTTACTCTTCAGAACGCTCTCGGCGGCGTTGCTGAGCGCAAGGGTAAATGGTTTCGACCAGCTAAGCAGGATGTCACCTCCGAGATCAACGGCCTGGTCTTCATCATTGGAACTATGACAGACCTTTTGGATCGTATGATGGCGGTTCTGCTCGAGGCCAGCCAAGAGCTTGAGTTGGGCGAGGACTATCCCGGGGAAGAGTTCATGCTAGCCCGAGTGCTCGGCTCCATGAGGAGACGCATCCTAGCCTCAGAGAAACTGAAAAGCGGTCTACACCATCAAATAGACCGACGAGTTCCTGAAATCCTTGAAAGAGCGTTGCCCTCATCTGACAGCATCGAGCTCAAGCTCGACTCCTTGTTCGACCGGGTCGATACTGCTTTCCGCGCTCAGAAGAAGGCGGCGCTTGATCAAAAGAATATGGCGGTTACTATTCTTGAGTGCGAGTTGAACGCCTGCTTCGAAGTTGCTTACACCGCTTTACCACAGCTCGATGTCTGCGACGGCAGTTTACAAGAACGATTCAAGTCCTTCTGGGACCTTTTTGCCGCTCAGCACAACCACGACTTCAAGATCGACCAAAAGCTCATAACTGAGCTTCGTGCATCCGCGAATAAAAACTCCATGAGCCTTTCTAGACATGGTCGAAAACTAGACCTATGCGTGCGCTCTTACATCAATGCCGTTGACGATAGGCTTGGGTCAGTCCCTCGTTACAGGTATGGCGCACTCTTATTGTAGACGGGAAGCATTCTCAGCTAATTACACGATTGTTTAGGGAGCTCGCCGCCCCTGCATAGGCTTTGGGGTTTGCATTGGGCGAAGACGGCGAGGATAGTGACGACAACGTAGAATACAGAAAAGACGCAGGTGAGGAAAGAACACTACCGGGAGGAAAGTAGATAGCTCACGGAGAATGCATCAGATCGAACCCCTGGCAGAACGTCGACATTCAACTACGTGCTATGTGTTCGTGTACCGCAGTCACAGTAGATCTCAACAATTTGCGCGGGTGTTCACAAGTTCTTTGCGTACCTTCCTGGAATCGCTAGCGTGACAGCCACGCGTGTTTGCTACGCACCTGCCTCGCACGTTTCTCACGTCTCTGACCCTTCCTTGGTCTTCCGCCCTTGTTGCACACTCCACCTCACCCCATATCAAAACGCGTAACACGATGTCGACAGCGACCCGAGATACCGTCTCGCTTCGGCTACGAAAGAGCTTATACCAGTTCGTCCAAGACGCGTTTTTCGCTGCGAGAGTCTCTACGGACCACTGGCCTCAAACTTACGAAGATGGCGATGCAGTCAAGGTTCTCTCTTCACCTCCGCAGTAAAACTTCTTGTTGCAACAAGCGCCGTAAGAATCGGCCATGTCTCTGCCCTCCGCTCGTTCGTCTCCAAGCCCGATCCGACTCAAAACTCCCAACGTGTACTAAATGTGTGAAGCACGACGCGGAGCCTATACAAAAGACCTGAGTAAATGACATGTGTTCCTTGCGCAAGCTCAGATACTGACATCGAAATTTGCATCCTGATAAAGTCATGGCAGTACCGCCCGAGCGTGCGGATATAAAGCGCACGCGGTTGTCACAGGCTTGCTTTTTACCCACAAAATCTCTACCTTTTTACTAAAAATCCGCAAAACAACACACTATGTCTGCGTCTTTCGTGCCTTCGTCACAAATCTGGTTCGACTCGAAAGCCTGAAATTTATACATGATGTAGCAATGCGAGTCCTGGGATTTTATTCAAAGTGGACGAGCAGTACTTCATGCCTTCGTTGCGCCGTCTCGTGATTGCTTTATCAAAAACGCAACAGGCATGTGTATGACAGTGTTGCTCTGGATGCGGGTATATGAACTGAACGCCAGCTTCACCTCCCTTCCACCCTACCCACACAACATCTCCATGTTCATCAAAAACCCGATTCCAAGAATTACGATGTCTGCGTTCTCTGCGGCTTTGTCGCAAGCCTGACTACCGAAGAATCTGATCATCAGCTATATGCGGCCGAGTCGAAGCAGAGCTTTTGTACAAAGTACACACGTGGATATCTATGGCGTTTGGAAACGCTTGCAGGCCGTAGGCCCCAAGTTTTGCAGGATATGAACCCATTGTAGTGCTACCTAGCAGTGTGGCTATATAAACTTTTCTTATTGACGGTTCTTTATGTCTTCATCACCTCACCTGCAAGGTGTGTTCTCCAAAACAAGTCAATGGAAATCCCATGTCCCTCGTCGACCTCCTGTTTCTTTCTATTGCGTCTCAAAACGACAACCGAGAGGGCACATGGTTTTGTTTCGCTTTGTAAAATGACACAGTCCGAAATTTGAATCGACCGCTGCATGTCGTGGTGGATTGCGTTGTCATCAAACTAAAATGCTTGCCCGAGCCGTAGATGTTCTTTTCTTTCGCCGCGGCACTTCACATGATCGGAGATATGATCAACAACTCGTTAGTGTCATTTGCCCTCCAAGCAAGTGATGCGCAGAACCTTTGCCTGAAAGGACATGTCCAGTGCGGTGTGGCAGCAAAACGCCGATAGCGAGCGACCAAAATGACATCGGGCGACGGTCATGAGCTGGGTGTGCGAGCGCAAAGGCGACTCGGTGCAGACAACGGCGGTGCGCCTTCTGAAACAATCTCCAAAAGGAAGGTTCGAGGATGTTATGCGTGCGTGTGGTGAAGGTGATTTCGTCACATCGGAAAATGCGCAGTACTCGGAATTATCACGATGAGGTTGATGTGAAGAAAGAGCCCTGAAGCCCATATTGCATTGATGCGCAAAGTCGAACGCCGTCGACCATTATTCACTTCACGTCCCTGGCCGCAGCCCCAGAGATAACCCAGACATATCCATGCCATGCCAGCATCCAACCCAACCAAAAAGAAACAAAGACACGATCTATATGCCGCAACCAAACACGCGCACGCAAATGCCATGCTATGTTACACGCGGTCTATACGTCTATGCCAAACAGCACTAGCATGTATAGGTAATGACCGTCATCGTCGGACCGATCGCTCGTCGACGAAGAAGAGGAAGAAGGTGTCGGGGGTATCGCAGAAGTGTGTAATTCGTCAAACATCGTCTAAACGATGAGAAGCTTCTCAATGTTCTCACCCGCGCTGCGCTCGCTCATGCGGTTCCACGCGGCGTAGGTTAGGACACCGCAGGCGGCCCACATGACGGGTACGGCGGCTTCGGCGCCAGCTGAAACACGCGTTAGTACGGTTACTTCATTTTTGATGCTTCCTTTTCATGACGTACTTGGGCGCTCGGCCTGCGCGGCCATCTCCATGACGCGGGCTGCGCTGCTGGTTGAGCTGGAGGAGTTGGCGCGGATGGTGGCGGGTGCGATGCGCTTGCCGGCGAAGGCAGCGGTTATGGGGACGCGGGCGGCGATACGGGCGAGCATGATTCTTGATGTAGTTGAGGTTTGAGGATGTATTATCGAGGAAACCGAGTTTATGTAGCGACAAGTGGCGATGTGAGTAATCTCTGTGATGACACGTATAAACAAACGATTGTAGTCGTCGTAGTCGTCCCTCTAGAATACGTAGAAAGTGAACGTGCGTAGTTTCGAGTGAATCCGGGGAAAGAGGACACAGACACGGGACACGGTTTATATAAAGAAAGTGGGCCTGGGGAAGGAGTTGACAGGGCTGAAGGGAAAGGAGGCGAGGCCGGAGATGGCGCGAGCAGAAAATTTAGGGGCGGTGAGCGATCCGTGCAGGGATGTGCCAGGTCGAGATAGGCTTGGCCGCCAGCACGTGAGTGGGTCGGGTGCGGAAAGAGCAAAGCGAGAGTCTGGGGTAGCTGTCACTTTTGGGGGAAGTCACGGTCCTTGCATCACGCGGACTGAACGCATGGTGAGAGGTCTTGAAGATGATGCATTCTATGTACTGTAATTGAATGCGACCGACAATGAGGCTCTCCGAGTTCCGTCCGACTCTATCTCGCAAAGAGCCGCAGAGACCCTGCTTTGAGATCGGCACTGCGGCGCATCCCCGGCCTTCTAGACGAATCTACCGAGAATTAACCTGCCCTCGCCACCCCCAGTCTCAACAACAACTCAACAACAACTCTAGCGTACACTGTTCCTTCCCATTCACTTCAATAGATTCGTCTTCGCCGTGCAGTCATCATGTTCCGCTGTAATACATACGAAGGCCGGCAATTCCGGGTCGTCACTAACAACAAGTTCATCGGAATCTATCCACTCTGATCTACAAACTTACTTCCACACGCGATACCGAGCGACGGCCGTCAAATCACACTATGCGTACACACAGTGTCCATCACCTACTTCTCATTACCATTAGGAAGATGCGACAAGACTCCGCTCACACATTCTTCCATAAGAAGTCTTCAACCTTCTTCCCTTCGCACGCCTTCATGATGACCTCTCGCATGGTTACGACTGAGGGTTTATCGCGGATGTTATAATCCCACTGCTTACCGTCGGCGGGTGTCCTAGCAACGACATCATACATGGCAAGGCGAACACATGCCATCGCCGAAGGGATACTGACATCCAGCGATCCAATCACTTCAACCAATTCGGGAGTATCATGGAGCTGCGGCGGCCATACGGCATATCCGGCTTCTTCGAAACGAGCAGCAACCTCGAGCATTATCTTTGTGCAAAGATCTAAGACTGCAAAGCAGTTCACCCGGGCTATTGGGAAGGTGCCTTTGTACTCCGGCTGGATCACGTTCTGTGCACGACGAATAAGCTCCGATGGCGGGAAGCTAAGGAAAATGTCGTTGTAGTTCAGGCCCCTATGAATCTTGCGATCCATCTTAGGATCGCCCGTGAGTTTGACCCAAAGTTCTGGACTGGGCGCGTAGAGGCTGATGAGGCTGTCCCATGCCGAACTGCCCATCGTATCCATAGAGATCCGCTGGCTTGCACAAGCAGCATGGCGAGGTTCTTTCCTTGGGGCTGCCATGAGCATCGTGCGCGGTGTGATCGTTTGCTTGAAGATCTTCGCTCCACAAAACAGCTCGAAGATGTTGCAAAAGTTCCTCTTTGGGTATTGCTTTCCTGCGAATACGACATCCTTAAAAAGCGTGCGGAGATGTTCGAGGATCGGAATCTCGGGACAACCGCCAATCTGTCGTAACATATTGTAGAGATGCATCGTCGCACCAAAGATTTCCTGCTCGTTGAGGATTTGAAGGCCGACGAAGAGCGTGATATCCGATATTGCGGACATGTAACTTCCCATGACCCACGGAGATTGCGAATAAAGGTCGAACGTCTTGTCAGATGTGAACTTGACCATCTTCTCCCTAAGCATCCAGACGATGGCGGCCGTGTCATCGTGGTAGAGCTTTACTGAACTCTGTGCGTATGATTGGTAGAACTGCTCTGTAGCGCCAAGTACCTCGTTAGCACGACTCAGTGCAATGATGCGGCAGTTCGGTGGCTTTTTCCCCGTCTTCTCGTATTCGTGGAGAAAGCTGCGTCCGCTTTCTAACAGCATATGAGCTGTTATTATAGTCGGGATGGATAACTTCTTGTCTTTAATATCCGCTATGAGAGGAAGCACCGAGGGATGTTGCAGATGATCCTCGTACATGTCGTGCCGGTATGTGGCTGGCGAGTTCGGCTGATGTGCCGCAGATGCCGGGTGTTGAGAGGCGCTCTTGATCATGAAGGCAAGCAATGCCACATCGTGGCTGTAACGATCCGCGCAGATTTTGACGCTTTCTGCTCGACGTTTTTCTTCTGAGACTTGGCATCCTTCGACCGATAACAGATTCGTGATTGCATGCACGAAGCTCTCTTTAGTTGTACGCTCTTCCATAGAGTTGCGGAAGAAAGCCTGAAACGGGCGACGCTCCTTCCCAGGTGACTCCGGGAGTTGCTGAGTGTCGATAAAGGTCACCAGGAGTGTCGAGGGCCAAATTAACCCTCCGCCATGAGACAACTCGCTGAATGAGGAGATTGTGGCCGTTCTGAAGAAATCCATCGATGCCAGTTCATCGGCGGTAACACTCGGTCGCAGCTCACAACCACCTTCAAGACCTGCTTTCCAGAGGGAGAACTCGTCGCATGGTCGAGCCTTGCGAGCGTGGCATCTGAGACGTCTTGAGAAGTGCTGAGCCAGGTTCGTCAACCAGCCGGCAGCAGCAAGGGACAAGTCACCGGCCGCGTGAGATTTCCAAATTGTCTTTACAGCCTCCACAATGGCCTGAAGTTCAGCGAAGTATACTTGGAAAGCGATCATATCCTCGATAGGGTCTTCCGTAATCGTGAATCGTTCGGGTTCGGGCTCCGGCACGTTCTTGCGCCAGTATTCGGAGGCTGAATAGTCGAAATCCTTCTCAGCTTCAATTAGTCCGGTTAGTACCTCGAAACTGTTGTTTGTTGCCAAAAGGGACGCGTCTGACTTGTCACAAGATGTACGCTTCATGCTCTTATTGCTCCGCTCCTTTGTTTTCGGGAAGAGCAATGCGTATGCTTCAGCCAGTGTCTCATTGAAGACCCTGTGCCGTTCTGTCGAGTCTTGTACACCTTGGGTAGATGACGGCAACGTCTCGTAGTGTTTCGTCAGTCTGCTACGATTCATAATGACCATCTTAAAAGCTGACTCAATGTTCTTCGGCGGGCGTTTGCCTGTGCTTGCGGCTTTGCGGGCGCGTTCCGCAATTTGGCGTACAGTCATTTCTTGAGGCTCAGAGTTGTCATGGTCGCCTGAGCTGGGTGGCGAGCTGAACTCGGCTGATTGATCGAATGCATTGAGCCAGCGGATGACAATCGAGGTCTCTCGTTTGTAGGTTCGGTAGATGCTGAACAGGGTCGGAGGGAGCGGTCCCGGCGTGCTGGTGGTTGCTGAAGTTGCCATCGTAAGCTAGCGTTTTGCTTATGATGCTGTGTACTGTTGCGATGATCAGAGGACAATAGTACTTCGACGGCCGCAGGGGGGTTGACGGATGTGTGGTGTTTTGCCGTTTTCGATGTCGCAGCTCGATTAGGGGCGTGGAAGACTTAGTTATTTGTCCCTTGTGGAAATTTGCAGGAAACTGGATCGACTGGAATTATTTCGTGCATGTGGCTTTGGTGAGGCATGGTCCACCACTAGAAAGACACCTTACCAAGGAATCCATAATACGATCCGTGGTACGATACGGCTGCTGCCTGATCCGCAGAACAGCTCGCAGGCACACAAAAACAAAGATCTTTCCGCTGCCTCAGAGTAGCAGAGACGGTGGTCTGATGGTTAGTTGCGCAATGCTCATTGCAGTCTCGCCGTGTTCGAGGTGGTTTCCAGGTTAGCTTAGATAAGGCGATTAGCTGCGCGTTCAATAGACATTCATCACTTTCCATCTTTTGCGCAATAATAAATCGAAAAGAACTATACTAGACAAGAACAGTCGTGGAAACAGGTGACTAGGAAGAGTTCGGAGAGATCTCGACGCGCGGTAGGTGCTGCGTAGCCAGTATGATAGGCTCGAGGTGGGCGGCATGGGTGGGTGGATTTGAGCAATCCCTATAGGTATGGAGGGTCGCCCGTTGAGCGAGCGAATGGTATTGATGGCATCGCGATACGTCCAGATGGTTCAGGGTTATTCGTAAAGACATTTGCGATTGCAGAAAGCAGGCAGCGACGCGACCCCAGGATTGGACGCGTCGGGCGCTAGCCCAAGAAGGATGGGATGACGCCATGACCCCGTCAGCCAATCGGTGAGCGGCGCACGAGCACGGACGCCATCACGAACAGGCAAGCAACACGAAGCGGAGCTTGCGCCGAGCTTCAAGGCTTCTCTCACGCACGAGAACAGCTTCAAGCACGAACGATGCATCGGTGTTGCTGGTTTCATCCGACCACTGCGACCCTTACTCGCTCATCGATCGCGGCGCTCTCGCTATGCCATTGCCTCACCAACAGAGCCCGAGCGACAGCCATCAAATCACCATTCCGAAGACTGACATCGCCTAGTAGTGCGAGATTGGACGCGACATCAAATCGGTGAATGTGCCTCGAAAATGTCTCTCGGGGGACTGCGCGCAAAGATTCGAGTGAGCAAGCGTGCAATGGAGGGGCATGCATTGTACTCATGAGTTCACCTGAGCCCTCAAACTAACACTGAACTATCTACCAAGGCTAATGAAGATAAGCCTCACATGTCCATCCATAGAAAATCCTCCAACTTGACATTTCCGCAAATCTTGACAACCGCATCGCGCAGTAAGAGCAAGCCATCGTTTTGCTGTAACGATTTCCACCGAGACGCGTCCGTACGTTTGCCTTCGAAGTGATCGATATTGTACCTGACGACCCCTAGAAAACCAATCGCTGCTTCCAGTGTGTTCGATTGGAAGTTGGAGCTGGGACCCGTGGCTCCACGCGCTTTGGCTATCGCCACGAATTCTCCCACGCTCTCTGGCACCCCGTCGGGTTTGGCGAGTTGAAACGCAACTTCTTTCCAGACGTCGAGCACTAGGTCCATGACGGCAAAGTAGTTGACCTTTGCTAGGGGACATGGACCGTCGAACTCCGGCATGAAGTGGTCTTTTGCGCGCAGGAGAACATCGGATGGCGTGAAGCGAGCTATCATGTTGGGCATCAGATTGTGCTTTTTTGCCAGCAGCCTTTCGTCCAGTATTTTGGCTAGTAAACGCTCTTCGACAATGCACTGTTGCGCTAGCGTCTGGGATGCAAAGTCTGAGAGCTTCACCATGTTCATTCCTGCATCATCCGTCCCCATTGCTTTCTCTTTTAGCCTTTTACCAGCAAGCATCCACTTTCTATTCTTGCTGCACAGAGGGTCACGTTTGGCAATACGAGCCATGTTGTCGAAGTCGTTTGTAGGTCTTCCCTGCATATGTGGGAAAACGGCCGGTCCAAGAATATCACAAAGATGTTCCAACAAAGGCATCTGAGGACATGGAACCCTGAGCTTCTGCAACATGTTGTACAAATGCAGCAGATCAGAGACGTACCCATGCGCACTGATCAATCCGAGGCCGAGCATCATGTTGCGTGCCGCGATTGTCGCCATGTAGCTTCCAGTCACCCAAGGCGATTGAGAATACAAATCGAATACCTTCTCAGAGGTAAACTTATCGAGTTGTTTGATGGTACTCCTGACATTATCGGCCCACGCTGGTTCCAATTGGAGGGCTTTCACTGGATCCGATTTGTTTTCCAGTAGCTTTTGCAAAGCGATCCGGCTGTTGCGTGCGAAAGACAGGACCTTGATTCTGTTGTTTGTGCGGTGTGGAGCATCGCTTGGATGTTGCGAGATGAAGCTTCGACAGCTTTCTACGAAGGTGTGCGCGCCGATAACTAGAGTGGTTTGCGACACTGAGTCTGGTTCTAGGCATGCCTTCAGTCCCCATAACAGAGGAACACCTAAAGGAAATTGAAGGTATTCCTCTTTGAACGTGTAATCAAACCAGTCTGTATCAGCATCTGGGCTAAAGTCCATAGGGCCGTTCCATATTGGATGCCGATATATGCTTCGACACATCGACATCACCAAGCCCCGATCGTGTTCGTAACGTTCGTCGATGATTTGGTGCATATGCTGGTAGTGTTCATCTCTAGTTCTGGTGTCGCTGGTGGAAACACAATCTAGAACTGAGTCGATAAGCTCGCTTTTCAATACGCGCTGGTCGCGTTGAGTTTTGAAGTAGTCCTCGAATCTGCAGCGTTCAGCGGTAATCAGTGAATCGTCTCCGGCTTTTACCAGCGCCTCGAACCGGCGTATCTCGTTGATTGGCCAGAGGAGACCATAGCCGTGAGTGAGTTCTTGAAAGCCCTCTCCCTCGCTCGACCTCCTCCATGCATCGACATCCTCCAACCAGCTATGTACATATCCCTCTTTTGCAACCGATCGCCCATCTTCAGTACTGAAGAAGCGATATAGTATCCCGTCGTTGTTATCATGGTAGGGCGAGTGAGCAGCTATCCATTTGAACAAGTAACTATGGACTACGTTCGTGAGAAATCCAGCTGCAGCTAGGGGGATTTCGCCCTTAGCAGCAGATTTCCAGATGGTCTTGATAGTCTCGACTGTGTTTTGTAGCTCTGACACGTAGGTGTGCATCGCTATGGCGTCACCAACCGAATCGTCGGTTATACTGGATGTCGTCGTGGGCATGGGAGTCTCGGTTTGCCAGAAATCCGATGCGCAGCTGTCGAACTCAGGCTCCGTCTCGACGACATGAGCTAGCGCCTCGAATGCGTTGGAAGTGGCAGTCGCATGCGAAGCACTGGTGGTCTGCTTTTTCGGTGCGCCTTTCGACGTCTGTGATGGGAAGAGAATGGTATAAGCCTGGGCGAGAGTCTCATTGAAGACCTTGTGACGCGTTGTTGCCGCGACGGTATCAGCCGAAGCTGTAGGGAGACGATCGTAATACTTAGTGAGCTTGTTACGGTTGACGAGAACGACTTTGAACGCGTCATGAACCGCTGGTGGAGGAATGCGTTTGTTCTTCGACGCTTTTCTCGCTTTTTCCAACAGCTGCTTGACGGTGACAGGACTTGGTGCTGCTGGGGGAGCGGTTGCTACTGATGCCTGTGGTTGGTTGATAGTCCTGGACTTGCCAATCGAGATCTGGTCAAACGTAGTAAGCCATTCCAGTACCACAGAGGTTCCGCGCTTGTACGTCTGGTATACGGTAAAGAGGGTTGACGGCAGGCGATCGTTGCTGGTGGGAGTTGATGTAGCCATCTTGATGAGTTGTCAGCGTACAGGGGATTACCTTTCTTATATTGTAGCCACAAAGCACAAAAGACGACTTTTCTTCCAAGTGTCAAGCTGGTTGGCGCAACCATGGTTCGCTCCATGAGTCACTCTACAGCACAACCGGAGAGCTATGAGAGGCCAAACATAGCGCAGTGGTATGAGTGAGGACCAGCAATAGTTGAAAGAATGTGTCCTCGACTCAGACGGGCACGTCGTTCCCTCACTCTGGGCTTCGAAGATCTACCTTGGTGTGCGGGATATTGGTGAGGTTTGGAGGCTGCGAGGAGAAGACATCTCACCCAATGCGCGCACAACTAAACACAACAAGCAATTGTAGGCGCCTGACTGAAGCATGTCGCGCGTAGTTCAAAAGTCGCCTCGAGAATACGAGAGGAAGACATCCCACCCAATGCGCGCACAACTGGACACAACAAACCGTTGTAGGCGCCTCGCTGAAGTGTGATTTCGCGGTAGATCAAACTGTCTTGAGCCTGCGAGGCGACGACATCTCACTCGTCGCACGCATAACTCGATACAACAAACCATTGTAGGCGCCTCACTGCACCGAAGTTTTGCGCATCGACCAAGAATACTGCGGGAGTGATACCATCTGTGTAAAAGCTGGGGTGATGACTGGACACAGCAACTGAACCATCCGTGGAACGAAGATGACTCCCCGACCGCGCTAGCCTGCATGTGAACCACCACACACAGAATGCCATCAGGGACGGAGGCGATGTCAGCAAGTAATGCGCAAATCCCATGGCTGGTACGAGTGAGATAGCCACTCGCGAAAGGTGATTATCGGGGATGTGCTGTGCGAAGAAGCGGCTCAAAGTGCGCGCACGCCTGCAGATGTCATCGACAAGAATGCGGTACAGCAATCGCCATTGCGACTGCCCAATATCAGCGGAAGGCCGCCATAATTCATCGAAAACATGAACGCGACAACGGCGATAGATGGCTGGTGAGGGTGCGATGTGCGTGTGCGAGGATGCGGCTCAGGGTCTTCGCTCCGGCAAACGTCATCAAGGGAAGCACAGACACTGCGGAGGAAGTCGCGCCTGTGGACTCATGTTTAATGGAGTGAATTAATATCTGACATACTCATTAGCTGCTTTTTGGCATGCGCATCAGAGAAAGTATACCTATACACAAACTCCGCCCAATGCTTCGGCAGTCGAAATACCTATCCAGCACTCAACAATCCAGAGGTCCCAGTCCCTTTCTAACCCCATGCCCTATCCCAACCCAAACCCCACCTTCCTTCTCATTACGACATTCCCCCATCCCCCATCATGACTTCCCGCCCTTCCGTTGCTTAACCCTCGACCCAATACTATCACTTCCACTCGCTTGCAAGCCCGCACCACTTGCCGGCGTACTCGGCGCCTCCTCAATCCTCTCCATGTCCTTCTCAACCTCCACATCCTCCTTGATCAACTTCTCCTTCTCCTCCGTCTCCTCATCCGTCGGCGCATACTCGCTGCGGTCATCATCCGCATCCTTGTACACGACAAAGCGGTACGCGATCCTGCAGATGAAGAACCACCAGAAGAGGTTGACTGCCTGCAGCGACGCGAGGAGGGCGAAGGTGATGTATTGACTGATCCAGCACTTGTACTGTTGCGTTTCCCAGTTCAGCTCAAACGGACCGACGGTTTTGAAAGTGGTGAGGATGGAGTAGATGATTTTGAGGTTGATGTAGTGGCGCGTGTAGCCCCAGATGACCATGAAGACGAAGAAGTAGGGGCCCACGATGGGGGAGTCGATGTAGTTGAGGCATTTGGACGTCTAGATCGCGTTAGTAAACCAATTTTGGAGTTGGGTAGAATCCCGACTTACAGCCAAGAAGAAATCCGACACATCATGCGTGATGTACACCGCAATCCCCATGTACGTGAAATGAAACCGGTAGCTCAACCAGATCAAGCTGACGGTAATAACATGATGCGCAACCAACTCCTTAAAGTCCTTCCGTGGCTTCTCCAGCATAAGCAACAGCACAATCGCCTGCTGCGCCCAGTAACTCGCTTGAAGGAGGTAGTACGCCTTGACAACGGCCTCGTGCGTGCGGTGCGGAAAGCCCTCATACATCCCAATAGGATTGAAGTACCACACCGGCGTGCGACTCATGATCCAGATACCAAACGGCCCGTACAGCGCAAAGTACAGCGCCGTGTACGCCTGCTCCATGAACCTGCTCTGTTTGTCCCTGTTCTTGATCCCAAGCTTGACCGCAATCGGGCGAATGAGTCGCTGCATGCAGAACTCGCGCGTGAAGCTCAGCACGATGATGTAGAAGCCGACGAAAGCAAAGTCGCGCCCGCCCTTGCCGTAGTGAACTGGGCCATTGGGGTCTGCGCGGACGTGGGCGGGGATGAGCGGGTCGTCGCGTGCGAGCGGATACGACAGGAAGAGGCAGGCGGACAGCGGGTTTGATTCGTACGGGTAGACGAGGTAGAGGAACACGATTGTGAGGCCGAGGATGAGCGGGAGCAGCCAGGTATGGCGGATGCATTGGCGCTTGAATTTGGAGAGGTAGCGGCGTGTTGTTCGTCGTTTGGAGCGGCGGGCGGATTTCTCTGGTTTCTACAGGGTCTTGTCAGCGCGTGCCCTGCATGCCCATATGAGGGTCAAAAAAGCACTCACCGAGTCCATGCTCGTCGGACTGTTCAACGGCGGGGTGCTCGTGCGGTGTGTAGCCAACGCTGGGACGTCGACATCGCCAGGTACATCAGAACCCAGCGCACTAGACTTTCTTCTCCGCCTGGCTGCGCCGTTGGTTGCTGTATTGTGTGGCAGTGCGCAGTTGAGGGGAGGAAACGGTTCCGTCATTGTGAGGTTGAGGAGAAGCGGAACGCGGAAGACGGGTCGGTAGTCGCAATACCTTGTCTGTTGTCAAGGAGAAACAAAACACCTCCCAGACGACGTAGAAGAAGCTCCGAAGAAGAGCCTGCAGCAGAAGATATAAAGCGGCTGAGATATAAAAGCGGATGCGTTGCTTCTCCTTTCTCTGGCTTTCCCGAGGCTCGCCGCAAGTCAGGTCTCGCTGGCTCGACGTCCCAAGCAATTTCCGACCGGTGGAGTGGAGCCCTTGGCTTTCCGTAGCGCGTCGATCTGCTGTGAGCGAATGCCAGGGGTACGTCTTATGTCAGCGGCGTACTCGCTTAAAGCTACTGTTTAGAAATGCTGGAGAACCAATGCGACGTGAGTGATGATGCGGATGCGGAATGCTTTTTGGACCCTGATGGAGGTACGGCTCGGGTCCCTTCCGAAATCTGACAGAAAGACAGCAGGAGCGTGCGTCACAAGTGTCGGAACAAGCAATCGAGGCGGGTGATGGGTCGGGGAGCTACCCGGACCAAAAGCAACGGTGATATGGAAGCTTATATTGCGATCATTGGTGTCTGCATCTACATGGCTGCTGTCACCTACTAATACAGCTAGACTACATGTCTTCTACCGATAAACATACATATGCGCTATGCTGCAGGTCTTAGTCTGCTCCCTGCATGACCATGTGCCTGAGTAGGCGCACCATTTGCTTTTATCTCCAATCTCTTCCCCGCAATCTCAAGATTCTTCTTCAATTCAGTCGTCGGTGTGCCAACGCTGCTCGCGGTCACTGTGCTGTCCATGCTTCCTTTTCTGGACAGTACCCCATCCTGCCGCAACAAGCCTTTGATGCCGCCCGCCTTCCGCGCTGGAAGCTCGCCTTTTCCAGCGGTAGCGACGTAAAGTAGGTACTTCAAGTTCGGTAGTGTGTGGCGAATGTCGACGGGGCGCAGACCGAGAGAGTTGGAAAGGATTTCTATGTTCTTGTTGAGGAGGAAGACGCCGTACTCGAAGCGATAACGGACGACGTTCTTCATGTAGAGAGGGTAAGTGCGTTGGGGGTTCTGATTGGCCTGCGTAACGGCGAGTGGGTCGTCAATGGTCGATGTCGAGCCGTGGGGCGATATTGGATACGGTAGTATGACGGAGAGATAGGGCGATAGTGAGTTGACGACTTGCGCGACGTATCCCAACGCTGCCGAAGTAACGTCTGGATTTACTTCGTCGAAATTGGAGTTCGGTAAGAGAAGGCCCCGTATCGTGAATGCGAGCGCTTTGCCCTGAACAGGCTCGATAGGGAAGATCCTGAGGAGATCTTCGCACACCCTTCGCCGTTGGCCAGTGATATCCTCAGCAGCTTTCTCAATGAGTTCCTTACTCTCGGTACACTTTGCTCGTTCTTCATCAAGCGCGGCCTCGGCTTTCGCTTGCAACTCCCGCCCCGCCTGCATCTTCTCTCGTCGATATTTGATGTTGGCTTGAAGCTCGTCCCGCCTTCTCCGCGCAGCCACCACTCTCCTCTTCTCAGCAGTAACAGCAGCCTGGACGGTCCGCAGACTTTCTTCCGTCTCGGGAACTGCCTCGACCGTGCAGATATCCTCCTTGTTCGCCGCAAGTATGCCCTCAATCTCGTCGGCGATCCGGTCCCGTGTAGTCAGCGCATCCTGGATGCAGTCGTCTAGTGTTGATAATCGCATCAGCGCATCGTATGACGAAGAAGTCAGGGCCTTCCCGTCTGGGTTGTTCTTCGGCGGTGCGAGAAGTTCAGGGCGCATTCGCTCCTCTACCGGCAGATCTGTAAAGCTGGTGTAGATTCCGTCCGTCATGTGGAAGAGTATGCAGTTCTGCGGTAGTGGGTGTCTGAAGCTTCCAAGCGTCCTGCCTATGAACTGCAGCGACCTGAACTGTACTGTGTAGTCCATGAGGTACTGCCAATCCTGCATCGTCTCGCTCTTCGCCCACACCCTGACAGTAAGTTTGTCGAGTCGCGTGACACCAGGACCACAGGGTCCGAGATCGAAAAACTTGAAGTTCGGGTTCATCGCCTTTTCTGCGACTTCGGAGATGTAGACCGGGTCGTCCTGGTCCTCGACATGCAAGCTGAAGAAGGTGTCCGCCATGCGCCCTGCGGTAATGTCTTCCAGCTTCTTCTGGCGGAACAGCGGAGTCGCATTGGTCCACTCCATAGTCGAGCGCCGTCGCAGTCCCCTTCCATATCCGGGCCTGGTCGCCGTGTTCGGGGTGGGTTCGCGCAAGCCGCCATTGCTGCGCCGCGTGTCCTCGGGAGAGGTGAGGTCGCTCGAAGATCGCGAATGCGCCAGGCCCCTGCTCTCTCTCATCGCCAGCGCCTTGGTAGGCGACTTGAGCGTACTCGGTATACCTTCATCGTCGATGGTCCGCCCGCGCGACTTTGGGGGAGATAGGCTAAGCGTGAGGTTGCGGATGGTGATGCCTTGGAGGTGTCTGAGCTTGCGATTCTGGCAGACTATCAGCGACTACAACCCTGGTATTCTCGACGCGCATACATATGCAAGCAGCCACGGGCGCTCACGTGGTGGAGACTTGGGCTCGGCTGCCTGGGACTCGCCGGCCATTACGTCGCTGATCTGGTGGGTAGGCAGGGGCGGGGACGGGATGTTTCGAAGAAACGTATCATTGAGGCATTGCTATAAATTAGATTAATCGCCCCAGCAATCGCAATGACGCAGCGCATAGTAAAGCTTGGAAGCTTGCTGGTGAACGCGTGTTTGGAGTTCCCAGCTGTCGTATTGGATCAAGCGGACCTCCGCGGCCTGGCCCGTGCTTTTTGAGACTCGCAACTTTCATCCACCACTATCGCGGCGGTCATTGGCATCACCACCCCCAAGCCATGCCTCGAACTCTTGCCCGGCTGCGGTACAAACCGCCACTACAGCCCATCTCCCTTGCCAGTCCCACCGCCGCCAGCCGCGTCACCCCTCAGCATGTTGCGCATATGCAAAAGCAGATCGCTGCATATGTTGAGAGGCAGTCGAATCCGCAGCATCTCCGCATCCAGACCGTCGTAAACGAAAAGGCGAGACGACAAGCGACTGCCCAGCACGTAATCTCACCGGTCAAGCCCTACACTCTTCGTGACGTCGTGGACCCGGAGGGCACTGCCAAGCACGGCGAGATCATCTACATTTTCCGCAACACCAAGTCGAATCAGATCATCTACTCGCTGCAGGAACTATTGGATGTATGGAGAATCCGCAATTTACTACTTTCAATGCTAATTTGTAGAACCACCACCTCGAACAACTTCCCTTCATTGGCAAGCACTCGAAGCCACCCGCCCTGCGTCCAGACGAATGGGTACCCCACTGCGTCCTCACCTTCCCCACCCCCAGCCAAGGTCAGAATGCTTTCCGCAAGCTACGCGAGTTCCGCCGACTGCACGAGACCGCCTGGGACAAGACGAATCCCGAGTTCAAGCGCATGGACAAGAAGACGAGGGTCAAGAAGATCATGGACCAGCGCGCCAACACCAGCGCCGACTTGGCCGAGGTGCTGCGGATACAAGAGGCGCATGGAGCCAAGACGGCGGAAGAGCAGGCAGAGCAGGAGAAGAAGGTATCGACTTTCCTCGACAAGCGGTGGGAGCAGATTGACGCCCTGGCGAATGCGGGGCTGGCCAAGACGAAGCCCACGGATAACGTCAAGTGGCTGCAGGGCCAAATACGGTCCATGGACCACAAGCTGAAGATGAAGCACCACCAGAACGAGGCCGATCAGAAGAGCATAAAGGCTGCCAAGGATAGCCTCGAGACCCGCCTGGGGAAGCTGCAGTACGCTCTGCGAAAAGCGGAGCAGTTCAAGAACATGCAGGAAGATTTGACGAAGCGATCAGCGCCCGCCAACGAGCTCGGTGCTGAGACGAAGTTGTATGAACTGAAAGTCCAGGCCCGCACACTGCAGGAGGCGCTCGACAACCCCGATCCTACACGTTCCGAGGCAGACTTTGAGCTGGATCGCGAGATTCTCGCAGGTCATCGCGCTGAGATCACCACCCTTGAGCAGGCTTTCGAAGCAAAGGCCCAGGCTAAAATCGGCAACCACTACATCGCCCGCTCTGTCCTGCCCAAGGCCCTCAAGACACCGCCTGTCAAGCCCTACACACTGGAAGGTGTGAGCGTACGGTGGGCCGACATACAAGACGCCCTCTACGCAGCCGGCAAGTGGCCCGCAGCCATCGAGCACGAGCCTCTGGAGATCAACAAGGCGCGCGGCGAGACGTTGATGCTTTCTGCCGAGGAGTACGAGGTTGAGAAGCAGAATGAGGTTGGAAGGATCATGGATACGCTGAATCTGAGGGAGGGCGAGTATTTGGAAGAGAAGGATGGGTTGAAGAGCTCGTTTGATAGCCCAGCACTCAAGAGCGGGATTGCCATGTCGATACCGCGGGATGCTTTTAAGAGCGCGACTGTGTAGGATGAGTGTATAGTATGTAACAAAGTATCTTGTATATGTACTGTGGATGACCACACGTTCTGGCTTGTTTGTGAGATGCTGACGTTCAAACACAAGCAATTGATGTAGTTACTGCTGCAAGCTCCGTGGCTTCGCTGTGTATTCCCCACCACATCTCGAGAATGGTCTTCTGGTGACGACTGCGTAGTTGTAATCGCCTGATATGGGGTGCGAGCTGGTTGCAAGATGAAATGTCCACAGGCCCTACGAGACCTTCAACCGCACCATGATCTTCGGCGTACGCGCCCTCTGGGAGCCTGGACCTCTTGCTAGGCCTCTCCTCACCCTCTTCAGCCTTGTCTTCTTCTGTCGCTCCTCTCGCCTGTCTCTCCTTTTCTTGTCGCATCGCTGCTGCATCCATTTCTCTCAATCGCGTGTAGGGAATATACGATACCATGCCAAATTGCGGAACGTGCGGCGGGATCTCCACCTCGGCTCCCTTTGCGGTTCGTAACGCGGCCATGATCTTGTCTATGACCCTCAGCTTCCGCAGTGCACCAGTGTTGATGACGGCATCCGAGAAGCTGTTACCGCAGGTGAGGACTCAGACGCGAACAAGCTTTTCTTGGCCGATTCGGACGGCTCGTCGCTCGGCTTGCAGCGCATCGAGCGAGCCCCACCAGGGCCGTGAAGTCAAGGTTAGCATGTTCCTAGTATCAGTATTGCACGGAATCCACTTACTACCACAAAGATAACCTGCGACGCTTCGTTGATGGTCAGCCCAGTTCCACCTGCCTTGGCTTGGAAGCCGATGGGCGCCGTCGCATGCGACACGTTCTGCCCACTTGTGTAAGAGGGCCTCCCTCTCCTTTGTGCTCAAGACACCAGAGTATACTCGGATTTCAACGGAGTAACGTCGGCGAAATGCTTCGGCGATGATGATGAGTGCCTTGTAGAATTGGCCCCAAACAATAAATAGTCTTCTCATCCGGGTGCTTTACCAAGATATTGTCATAAAGCTCCAGGAGCTTGTTGTAACGGGGCGTGAAAACGTCATGGTCGCTCATCTTGGCCACGCGATCGAGGTAATCTGGTGCTTTGTCCTCTTCTTGGTCTTGTCGGTCTTCTTTTCCTGAATGAATGATGCAATTGCAGCCTGCTCATCCTTCCGCTCCTGCTCTTCTTCTTTTTCCTGGATGAATTCGGCTACATCGTCGTTGGCTACATCGGACATGTTCACTTGATCATGGGCTTCGCTGTGGGCTGAACCGGACCCTGTCATCGCCAGCAGGGCCAGCTTCTCTGGTCCCGTCTCCATGAGCCAGATCATCATTTGCTGAGAGAACCTTGCGCTTTGTGTGTCTGTCTCGTCAATGTCGGCCCAACCTGGGAGACATTTAGCCTCATTGCTGTCTTCTTCTCCGAGCTCCATGGCTTTGATCTTGGCGGCGACTACCGCTTCGACGAACATGTTGCGGGCGTTCTTCAGATCGATGAGTCTTTTGTGCTTTACCGCTTTTTGCTTCTCGGTATATTTCGCGAGAACAGGGAAGCCTGATTCCTGCTCCGCCCTCGTACAGAAGCCCATGGCGAACTGCAGATCCTTCTCGTCGACCGCGAGCTCTTCCTGCTATTAACAGAACTCAGCAACATCATCTCTGACTCCACCAGAGGATGACAGAATACTTCGATTACCGCCTACATGCACGCCACTGCGCGTAGATGTGCATCCCGTGTTCCTGTTCAAAGAATACATTGCTACATATACTCTCCTTAGTGAAAAACAATATACCGCGTATGCAGCAATGGCTACCTCAGAAACCCCTTCACGAGGACGCTGGTCACTTTGTCGACTTCCAAAGGCCTGGTGTCTGTAGTTCCATCAACGTGCGTAAGGTTGTAGCCGTCAGCATGAAGTATGGGTTCCTTGCAAGATGCGATTTCCAGCAGTCGCGCGAAATTTCCACGTGCATGCTTCGCTCAGGGCCATGTGGGTAGACCATGTGCTTTTTGGTAGTATCGTAGAGAACTGACGGCATATATCGCTGTGCTCTGCCGCATGCAAGCGTCAAGTCATCGAGTATCCTGTGGGATCGGATAGCCCTCATTCGATCGTCAATCTCCGTGTCATCATGCTTCCCAGCGAGCTAGTTTGGAAGGAGGTCGTCGCTCATCGTGATAGTCCTCGAATCAATGTCGAATGTTACCGGTGGACTCATCCAGCAGTGTCGTGAAGTCGCGACCTCGGGAAGTCTCCGCGCGAAGATCAACGCTAATCTCGAAATGCCCATTAGCGGCTTGGTCGCTTACTACGTCAGAGCCATGAATTCCCACGTGTCACCCCGCCTCCAGCTTATCAATCACTGCCATTCCAGCCGGACCGACTCCGCACGACGAGCACCACTATGTCCACGTCGAAACCGTTCCCAGCGCTAAGTGGCGGCTGCGTCTGCAATACCATCCGCTATAGGCTCCTTACAGCCCCGCTCTACTGCTATGCCTGCCACTGTATGGACTGCCAAAAGCAGACCGGCAGCGCGTTCTACCTGAGTCTGAACATCGAACTCTACAACATCCAGATCCTGTCTCCGACGAAGCCTTCGTTTCTGAGCCGAGAGGTTAAACCGGGCCTTGTCGATCGGTATGCCGAGTGTCCGCAATGTCATGTCCAGCTTTGGGCTAGTAACCACCTGGGTGAGGCAGTCGTTGAGTTGAGAGTTGGCACACTGGACTTCCCGTCGCTCATGGAGCCTGATATACACATTCACGTGGAGAGTAAGCTGGACTGGGTGACTTTGCCGGAGGGCGCGAAGACGGCGCAAAGAGGCCATGATTACAAGAAGTCGTGGCCGAAGAGTAGTCTAAAGAGGTTAGATATCTGTCTGAAGAGAGCGGAAGAGGTGAAGAAGAGAAGGACTGTTGCGATTAAGGAGGGTGCTCATGACACGAGTGGAGACGAGGAGAATACGGAGGGGGTTGTGGCTGTAGAGGGAAGTGGAGAGGGTGACAAGACGCCAACAGCAGGAGATGTTGGGGGCGATGAGGATGATGAGGCCGAGGAGCAGAGGTTCAGAGAGACTGAGAAGGCGTTGCTGGAGCGGTTGGAGCGATTGAGTCTGAAGCTGCAAAATGAAGAAGGCACAAAGAGAGTGGCGGAGACGTGTCTCGAGGACCCCAACAAGACCTCATAAATGGTGCGGAAGGTCGCAAGAGCCTCGAAGAACTTGTGCAACTTTCTCATCTTCACGGTATCTCAGGTTCGGTTGATTCCTTTACTCTGCCATCTTTAGGTCTGAATGAAAGGTCAAGATGGGGGCGCCTGCCTTCCATGGGCAGCACGTGTTCTTACGTCATTGTCCTACCGTGTACGAGGTCCGTGAATCGTCGCACACCACGTCCACTAACAATATCTCCTTGCGCATCTACCATATTCCACTGCACATCCACCATGGCGCTTGCGATCTTCTGCGCTCTACTTTCGCTGCTCACTACATTCACTTGCGCGTCTAGCGACGACCGCCAAGCAAGACTCCAAGGCGCACCCGATAAGGAGACGAGGATAGCCATCATCGGTGCAGGACTCAGCGGCGCTAGCACAGCGTACCATTTACGCGAAAATGCTCCTTCGGACCAACCACTCTCGATCACGATCTTCGAATCCAGCGAAAGCATCGGCGGACGAGTCGCTTCATTCCCAGTACCGGATACCCAGAACAGGACTATTATCGAAACCGGTGCCGCCAGTTTCTTTACGGACGATGAATGTATCACGCAAAGCGTTGAGAAGCTGGACCTGACTCTCGTAGACAAGAAAACTTGCTGGTCGCTTCTTGGATGTCTCCACAGCCCATTAAGAAGAACAGGCATTTGGAATGGCAAGACTATCACCGGTAGGCCATTGCTTGCTTTGCGACTGAGCGACTGGTTCGATAAGCACGGTCTGCTCTGGACTGTGAAACCAGTCGTATGGTCCAACAACCTGTCCGTATGGGATACCTTGCGTCTACTCCACTGGAACGATCTGAAGTTAGACCCTGGGCTGCAGGCCTCGTGCGACTTCACGTCTCCATCGATTTGGAGACGTATCCACATGCGTTACGATTACGGCAGCTCGCCTGGGCTCTTCCGACGAGCAGTCCACATCACAACTGAGAAGTTTCAGCATTTTGGACGTTGGGGTCGCTTCGATAATCTTGCCAACGAACTACAGAGGGTGGGGTTAGATGACGGTACTTCGACATTATCCGCTGCAAAATATTTGACAGGTCTTGGTATCAGCGAGCGGTTCCAGTCGGAGGTCGTCGAACCATGTGTGCGCGCGCGCTTCTCACTTGACCTAACGCAGATTAATGCTATCGATGCGATGATGGCTTGCAGAGAGTCAAAGGAAACATCTTTAGTCGGCGGCAGCATCCGGCTTGTAGGCGCAATGATCAACGCCTCGTTAGGGGACTTGCAACTGCGAAGCGAGGTCGTTGGAATTGAACATGGCCAACATCGACGCTACAAACTCTCACTCTCGGATGCATCAGATCTCGCATTACTTGAAGACCGAGAGTTTGATGTAGTTGTGCTGGCGGGTCTGGTTCATGAGAGTCCACTACTTGACAGCCTCCAAAAGCTAGGCTCGCTGCCGAAGAACCTCTTATCACCACCAAGTTATACCTCAGCGCACGTTACCTACTTTGCTACGGAGCATGCCTTCAGACCGGAATATCTCAACTTATCCGCTGACTTCGACATCCCAGATCGCCTTCTAACGACATCTGCGGAGTCCAGCCTGATCTCGCTATCTATGTGGGACGATATGGGCTTTTACTGGGAAGACCGACTTCGGCGCAAGGAGCCTTGGGTTGAACGACCTGATCATTACGACAGCGATGAATGCGGGAACCGTAAGTTTGAATACGAAAACCTGTACCGTATAGCGTCTCTAGAGTATATCTCAGAAGGCAAGCTTGCTGCAATGATTGGAAAGGATTGGGAGGAGGGACAGAATGCGACGGACATCGGGTTCAGCTGGATTCATCGACAAGAATGGAGCAAAGCGTTTGCGGAATTTGATGACGGCAGGGGTGTATCAGGAGACATTCAGGTAGCTGAGGGTGTCTTCTGGCTTGGTGGTGGCGACGAAGTAACGTCATCACTTGAGATGAGTTGTAACATGGGAAGGAATGTTGCGTCCCTGATACAAGACCGGGCAACGACAACAAGTGCTGGTCATGGCGAACTGTAGTGAATAGGTAGCTATCACGGCTACATAGAGCTGGAGGTCCTTTAATTGTAAGTCTATAGGATGTTGTGCCTGCTACATTAACACTCTCCTTACCTCTTCACCCTCATGACTTACGCTGTAGTCCGCAGTACTGGATTAGGCAGGCTGGGTTCGGCATAGATAATCACATCACTCCATTGCCCCGCTTTTAGGGTAGCGCAGTGAGATCGCAAAGTGAAGGGTTGGGTCAAGGCAAAAGAGAAAGAGCGCACGGCCTGGATCTCTGATATACACTCCACGTATTCCATCTGCATATTAAACGACTCAACAGCACCGGTCACAACCAACCCCTAGACAAGGTCGCGACGATGCATTCCTCCAAGGTACTGCTGGCCCTCTTCTTCAGCCTCCTGACGTCTCTCTTCAAAGTTTGCAGTGCACAGAACGTTGGTATCGAGACTACCCCCATATTCAAGAACTCGCAATGTAGTGCAGAACAAGAGCGTATCATCCGTCAAGCGTGGTTGGATGGCGTAATGCTCGCTAATGCGGCCTTTGACGATAGCGACGAACTCCTTCCGAATACCGGCGGCGGGCACAAGATCATCAACTTCGATACTCGAGCGGCAATTGAATATTGGGGTCCACCGAGCGAAAACCTTGGATACCGACAGCGAATCTATGATACATTTTACCGCGCCACTCAAGCGTCATGGGGGCGGGGTTGGGCCGACTGGTGGTTTGAACGCTATATCGAAATGCACTGCGACGATCCGGAGCCGAAACAGTGTGACGATTCGACTTCTGCTTACTACATGCCCACGAAAAAAGGTTCGTGGACATACGACGGTATCAACTTTTGCCCGGCATTCTTCTCCACTCTCAAGGACCACGCGGAATTGGAGAAGAGAATCATCGCCGACCCGACTGGCCAATTAAGGCTAAACACCAGGAATATGCGAAGCAGAGGTGAACTACATGCTCAACTTGCGACCAATTCTCGTTTGCTGATGACTGAATATAGCCTGCACCGCTCTCCACGAGTTACTACATGTCAACGACTCCAAGACGGAAATCTGTCAGGGGGGATGTGAGTGTTACAGCATATCGTTATAACTTCCCACGTACGACTGACACGATTAGGTCACGACACCAAGCAAATGATAGGCGGCAAGGCAATCTTCACGTACAAGTCTGGCCGCGCAAAACTACTGGCGGCGAGGGACGTTCAGGCTGCGGCCGAAACCAACGATAACTATGTCTATTTTGCCATCGCGCGGTACATGCAAAAGAAGTTTGGGGTCTACCCCGCGTACCCACGCATATGGAGTCCTGAAAAAACGAAGGCAGAGAACCAGGCGATTGAGAACGGCGAACCGGGCGCCCCAAGCCGTTACAATATGGCGTTTGAGTTGGAAGATGTCGACCTCGATGGCGGCGCCAGTGAAGCGATTTCGGATAAGCAGTACAAGACGTCGATCTACCCAGAGTGGTACCAACAAGAATCGCCTGTTGAGCCTGACTTTGGCAGGCTCGCCTTCTCCCATCCCAATATAGACGACGTCGTTTGCCAGACCACGAGCGAGTCTGCCCAGTACGATGATTGTGTAGCTGCTTTTGCGACGCTGGAGGGTCTCGATCGGAACAAGGTTCAGCTGGTTCATAAGAGGCCCGGCGAAAGGTGGTGGCCGAATGCGGTTACGACGTGTGCGGTTCAAGTCCACTACAAGGGCGACTGGTCAAAGTGCGAGGCTTCGCTGTCGGATGTATGGGCTCACGCTAAGGATGTCTTTGAGGGGTGCCATGGCGAGTATGGGACGGTGGGTGGCTATGTTCCTTTCGGTGTGCCGAATTGTCCTGCGACGATTGATCTCGTGTCCAGTCGTCAGTGGAGCAATCCAGATCCGTTCTAGATGGAGTCGCAGCGGGTCGAAGGTACTGGCACGAAGGTCATGGTGTCGGGATAATTGATAGTCGTATACATGATCGTGAACGTAGGAACAAAGTGTCGCAGGAGATGGTGTTGATGGTACGCGTGTTGTCTTCATGTGGTTCCCGAGGTTCTGGAAGACCAGAGACGTGGCTGCCCGACGTCATAGGGGCTCGCGCTTTCCAATGCTTGGCGTTAGCGCCGCAACGCCAACGGCAGGGCCGACCTCTGCACATCAACACTCGCAACATCCTTCTGACTTGCGACTACACGCCGTGCCCGCTCACGCCCATTCTCGATCTCCCCACCGGAATGACTGTAGTATGCCTCTCACTGTTGCGCTCGATGACACGCGCCTCGACCGAACGACACGCTCCTGCCAGTACAACCATGGCCCATAAGTCCGATGAGGCCGCGCTCGCGTCATGCCCAGGCCGTGCGAACCTGTCGCGTCCAAGCGGGAACACTACAATCATTGACTCATTATCGGGCGCGGTATAAGCCCTGGCCACGTACCTGCGTGACGTGCTGAACCAAGTTGTTGGATGGCGATGATCCGATAAACTATGACTTCTTTCGGAACAAGGAAACGGGTGAGCTCCTCAACTATGACCCGCGGCTTGAACCGGAGAAGCTGGAGAAGAGGGGTGCGAAGCTGGAGTGGTTTTCATTGGTATGAGTTCAACGCCAGGACCGTTGCCCTAGCTGGCGAGGCAATAAACAAGTCACTAATATATTCACACCCTCCATGCTACCAATTGGCTAATAAGATAACACAAGCGATTGTTACGGTAACATCAAACTGCAATGGCCTAATTGTATGAGTTGATGCTAATGATCATAGCATGCCCAGGCGTCATACAGCATACTTGCGCTTCTACGCCAACCCTTCCAATGCACCGTCTATTTGGAACAGCCCTGGAACTCACTTAGCAAGACCGAAGGCGCCCCTTCACCCACACTTGTTACATATACATATACCCTTGCTTGCAACCACACCTAATCCTTTTGGTAGTCTAATTACGTTAACCAAAACAGCCAGGTGAAGGTGAAGGCCAAGGTGACTTCGACCTTGTTGTGGCAGACACTAGTGGTGACGCTAGGGTGCATATAAGCACTCACCTCAACACTCGACTGCTCTCCATCCTCTTCCAATACTAACGTCGCAGAGCACTCAGCACAATATGGAGCCCGTCATCGAACCCCCACACCGCTATGCATTCAGCTTCGCCCTCATTGGCGTCGAGGCACCAGCTCTCCAGGGTCATACACTACTTCGCGTGCAGAATTGGAGCTCGGGCGCAGCAATCAAGGATCGACGGGTTGGCACAACAGCAGAAGCCTCATCAGAAGAGAAGACGATGGCGGACAACGACCAGAAGGATCTAGGTCTTTGGGTCGGGGTTCGACCAGCCAGGGCAGATGTGTTGCGCCAACAAGCTGCGAAGCCTGTTGGTAACGACACCGAGACACAGGCAGCTCTCGCCGTACTCAAGAACATCCCGATCAAAAAGGCTTCATCAGTAGATTCAGTCATGCGCCTCGACAGCCTTCCAATCTGGCCACTGAAGGATGGTATGACACGGGTGGTCGTCCGGTACAACTCTATACAAGCAGATCGTCTGCTATTCTACGAGCTAATCAATCGCGACCCGTTGACCAACGTAAGTTTATTCCGCTTCAATACACGCTGTAATAGACGGTCTAAACGGTTCAATCGCTTACTCTCATCAGCTATGCGAAGCACACCCCATCGAGGCTCAGGACTGCTTCTTCTTCCGTCGGTATCGAGTCGACAAGTTATCCACATGGGTTGACCGTCGAAACAAATGGACTCAGGTGATCAAGGAACACCTCGCAGAACACTTCAACACGCCTCTCAAGAACGAAGGCTTCCGCCCTGCAAGGTCACATGCGCGTGTTGAGTTCCCGCTCGAGATCAGCGTGGGCGTCGACCTGCAATCGATGGCCAATGAGTACGCCGTGACGGGCGCCCCTTGGCTGCTGGACGCGATGGAGCGAGCCGTTCTGAGGTCAGAAGAAGACTTCAAGGATGCAGAGATTCCTCAACTTATCGCCATCTACCGTCTCATAGATCTGCACCACGAGTTCGAAGACGGCGACGCGAAAGAGGCTCACCGCTGGCTCACGGTATGTTTCAACCGTAATGCACGGTGTAAACATTGCTAACATTCACAGGACATGTTTCCTGGCCTAGTGAAGACCGGCACATTGACACCCGAGAACGTCTCCAAATACGCAGCATACCTCCGCGACACCGAGACCCGCGTCACTTACGGCGACATCCGCACAGGCTTGGGGGCGTACCTCTGTCTGCTAGATGACAAGACGATTGCTACAGCCACCGACTCTGCGATCGCCAAAGAGATTGCGCTGATGCGCCTTTATATGAATGAGGAAGTCCAGGGACCGCCTCCAAAGTGCACCAAGGTGAACACCAACCTAGAGCACTGGCTCAGCGACCACGTCAGGATGATGCAACGCATCGTGGACGCGCATGCCGACTCTCTCACAGGTATTGTCGACTACCACGGCACAGCCGCATGCCCCGACAACCTAAATGACCTCTGGAAGAACGCCGGAAACTCGCCTGATACCGACGGAGCCAAGTTCTTCGCCTTGCAGGCCAGCCGGTTCTTCGCCAAGGAGATGATCGCAAAGTACGATGTCACGACCAAGAACATCGAGAAATACATACAGATGTGCAAGCAAGCGCTCAAGGACCTTGCTGCTGGGGGCGACGAACCTGCTGAGGAAGAGGAATGAGATGAGGAGACGGGCTGAGATGAATGGTCAGTGAGTGGCGGACGGGGAGCAAGGGTTGACTTTGGAGCAACGGCAGTATTGAAGGCTCTATTCAGCTCTATTTCGAGGGCGATCAGCCAGTGATAGCTGAAGCATTCATCTAGTCATGCAATGATTATGAAGATCCAATTTGAGGCACCTCTACCCTTTCCTTATGTTTGCACCGTGTAAATTCTCTATGCTCTGCCAATGTGTCTTCCTCGCAACGCGAATGTGTATTGGTGTCGTGGAATCACTCACAAACGACGACAAGCAGCATCTTCACCCTCGAAACCACTTACATCGTTGGAACGTCGCTAACAGCTAGTTGACATATATACGAACATGAACGATGGAAAGGGCTCTTGTTAGAAGACGTCCTTGTTCTGGTATCCTTTGGATGGTTGAACATCCGATTTACACTAGGGAACCTTGTGCACCGACACGATACACTACTCTTGAGCTCTCTGCTTTATTGTAATCGACGAAGATCCATGCCTTACGCTGCTTACAGTAACGACAACGTCTCCAGACCTACTGCCGGAACGTATCACAGCTAAGGCTCGCCCTCGCCATGTTCTATGAACATTGCCGTTGAAGGAATCCAGATTCTTATAGTACGCAGACCCAAGCGCTGCCAGAGTGGCATCTCCATGTACCTCGACGGTAAGGGTATCTTCGTCGTTCATCTCGATGTTTCCCTCCTGATCAGCGAGTTGAAGTTCAAGGTACGCTAGGTCTTGTCTGTCTGCGACAAGTTCACCGGACTTCTCGTTGACAATCTTGACTGAAGCAACGTCAGCGGAGCGGACCGTGGAGCGCGAACGCTCCTGTCCGCCAGAGTATGCAACAGCAAGAAGTTCGCCAGGCTCGTAAGCTGTCGAAAATCTAGCGGTGTATCTGTTGGCTTGGTTGCTACTTGCGCGCCCAAGCGAGCGGCCATTCAGGAAAAGTTCTGTTTCCTCTTCCTGAGTGATGACCTCAATGTAAGCCTTCTGACCCTCACAACCCTTCCAGCCCCAGCCCTCGATCGCATCGGAATCTCGCCAGGGCGTCGCCTTGTAATACAAGTCAGAGACGTCCAATGGACGTACCGCAATTACGGGTTGAGACAGGAGTTTCCAGCACGCTTGGGCTACGAAAGCCGAAGCATTGGCCACGCCAGTGATGTCTAGAGCGCCGCAACCCCCTACTAGATGTGGCCATGGCTTGTACAATTTTATAGGGGTAAACCAGCTTGCCTCATAGTCGTGCACACCAATGCCTACCTCGCCAAGGTAGTCCCATCCAGTCCACATGAAGTCTCCTATTAGGTTCGGAATCTTTTCAACGTTGGACCAGTTCCTAGGAAGATCAGGTGGACAGGTTTCGGTACCGAGCATCATCCTTGAAGGGTGTAATTTGGCATCTGATTGGTACCGGATGTCTCCATAATTGTAGCCCGCAACGTCCATGTACGAATAGAGTCTGCTGGTCACGACATTTGTGTGATTGAACTTTGGGATGTACCGCATGAATGAGAGGAACATGCTGGCGATGATGTTGAAGAAGTTGCTAGACACCAAATCCCCCAGACCGCCTTTATTATCTGCAGGAGGAGTATTTGGATCCCCCGGCGGGATTTTCGAAAACATCATCAGGGCCAGCGTAAGGTTGACCGCTATAGTGTTAGGTCGGGATGGATCCAGCTTGTGCGTGAGGTCCAGGAGCTTCTTCGCGATCGTGTGTCCGTAGGCGGTTTTTGGCTCAGTGATCTCGTTACCCAATGAGTACATAACAACTGAAGGGTGGTTACGAGCTCGTTCCACAAGAGAAGCGACTTCGTACTCCCAGCGTTCGTTGAAGGTGTTGGAATCGTCATATTTAGACTTTGCCTGGTACCAGTAGTCGGCAAACTCATCCATGACGTACATGCCTACCTCATCACATGCTTGTAGAAGAACTTCCGAGCATGGATGGTGCGACATACGAATAGCGTTGAAGCCATTCTTCTTCATGATCGACACGCGCCGCAGTTCAGCAGCTTTGAACGACGCTGCGCCGAGGATACCGTTGTCTGCGTGTATGCAACCACCACGCAACTTCACAGCCTGGCCATTGACCAGGAATCCATGACCAGGTTTCAACTGCAGAGTGCGCAGACCGTACTTGAACTTATAGAGATCGCCGTTGATGACGACAGTGCAGTCGTAGAGATTCGGAGTCTCAGCCGACCATAGATCTGGGTTCAGTATCTCGAAGTTTTGTCTCAGCTCAGACGTTGTCGTTTTTGTTCTCCACTGGATCGCGTTCCTTCCTCCTCTCGAAAGCTCGAGAGATACTTCAACGTCATCCTTCTTTTCGTTGTTGAGTAAAACCTCGAATGTGAGAAGAGCAACTCCACTGGCGGAGAGCGTTGCCAGCCTGATCCCGTCCTTGCAAAGCAGATTGTGGTTTCGAACCATGAGATGAACGCTGCGATGAATCCCGGCTCCAGTGTACCAGCGCGCGTTAGGTTGTTCACTGTTGTCGGCATGTACCTCGATGATATTCGTCTCGCCGAGCTTCAGGTAAGAGTCTACGCGAATCTCAAACTTGGTCCAGCCCGCCAGACAACCGCCGACTTCTGTGCTGTTCACCAGCACGCGACTGTGCCGGTAAACACCATCAAAGCTCAAAGCGACCACTTTGGACTCCAGAGAAGTAGGCGCTTGCCATGTTTTGCGATACTTGTACATTCCGCCAAGATAGAAACCGCCATGAGTTCCAGCGAGAGCGTCCTCCCGCCGCCCTTCTACCTGCATAGCATCGTGAGGAAGGTGTACTTTGCTCCAGCCACTTTGTCCAGAGCGTTGGAACTCCCAATCATCGTTGAAAAGTGTCGCTACTTCGGCCATTTTTTTCGTCTGCTATGCACTGGAAGTTGAACCAAGGGCATGAAAATTGAAGGTAGGGGCTTAACTTTCTAACACGGGGTCAGCAAAGTTCTTGTAGCGTCAAGCGTACCAAAAACGTACACGGCCCTCCTCGGTGCAATAGTCTGCATCTTGGAAGATGCTTGCGCACAGGTACGTATATCCACCAATGATTTGGTGTTACATAGAAGTTTCCAGCCTTGTAGCCCTGATATTATTGTGCAGAGAATCCATTAGCGCTTACGTCGAAAGTCGGATGCACAGAGGCCGGGTCCGGACGCCTTCTGTAGCTTCGGATGCACAAGGTCCCGAGTCCGGACGCCTTCGCGACTCACAAGCTACCCAGCGCGTGCGCCTATCATGCACTTAGTTAATAACTCGAAGCAAGCGCCTATCGTGTCGCGGCTTTTATGCCGACTCTTAGCAGCTAGCAAAAAATTGTCATATCGCGTAGGCCCAGGCGAAGGAAGGAACCAGATTGCAGTCATTGTGGTGACGCAGAAGCGCCTGCGTATTACAGCACTAATGACGGCTCAACGTCGATACTCATGAGGCTGCAGATGTCGTTGTGGTGGAGAAGCCGTGGTGTTGAACACCGCGATGACGCGCCGCAATTGCTTGGCGTCGGACCGCCGATTGGCCACCATCTCTCAGGTACACACCACACCATCCGACCGCCATTAACACTTCAACGCCATCATCTCGGCAGCCAGCGACTGTACGACAAGTGCGGCCATCTATATTGCAAGCTCATCGTCGTGAGTACGTAGTGATGCTATCATCACCGACGTACGCAGCGCGCGTCATCACAGCATCTGGCAGCGCGCGTCGTAGTGCCTCACGTAACGCGACCGCGTCATAGAATCTCTTGCTAATCTCAAGTCAACTAACGTCAGCTCGCAGCCTCTTGGTGAAACGTCAGTCACTGGTTGGGAAGGGTTCGGGAACGTCTCAATCCATGAAGAGTCGCCTGCTCTACGGCTCACCGAACGGCGCCTTTCCATTGTCGTCTCATCCCGATTCTACATGCCAACGGTGCCTCCCCAGATCATCGTGTCCGGCCTACAACGCGAAGCGGAAGTCGGGATGATCGTCGCCCAGCGCCTTCGTACTCTGGTCAAGAACCTCCGGCATCTGCAACCTTGCCTCATCGCGCTTCTTGTTCTCCCTCTTGCAACCAAAGAATGTTACCGTCGCAGCAACAACACCGATACAAGCCAGCCCGAGACCCGTACTAAACCCAGTACGAAACACCGGCGCCTCTTTAAACAGAAAAACGTTAGAGCTAATAAAGGCCCCTGCAGTACCGAAGTTGATAATTGCAGCAATAGCCACGGCCCGCTTGTACCCAGAACCGCAGTTCATCGAGACCCAGATAATCGAGATCGGCATCGCGAGATAGCATCCACTGGCAATAAAAAACATGCCGCAATACCGCACGGCCGGGTTGGACGGGTGCACAATCTCCACGATGAGACCTGTCGCGAGAACTGCCCAACCTAGGACGTAAAACAGATACCGGCGCTGCAGCCACTCGCTCATGTACGCGAAGATGACCGAGAAGGCGGCGCCGACAAGATATACAGGGATCGTGTGGACCTGCGCTTGCGTCGCGGTATAGCCAAGGCCCTTCAGGATGGTCGGTTGGAAGTTCGCGAGAGAGTTTGCGTTCTCAGTCACCCCGATGTTCATCAAAACGCTGGTCACGATCAGTTCAGTTATGCGCAAGAACATACATGCCACTTACCCAGTCCAGATCTTCCAGTCTTTGAGGAAATGTAACGCCTTCTTGAACGATATCTCGTCGTCGGCAACATGACCCCCATCAGCTTTTATGCGAGCTAGCATCAGCGCCTTCTCGTCGGGAGACAGAAACTTGCATTGCTCGGGAAATGGGGGAACGATCGGCCAACAGGCTATGCTGACGAAGATAGTCACACAACCTTCGATGATGAAGATCCTAATTCACGTCAGTAGATGTACGCCAAAGGACTCAACAGTTAACCTACCATCTCCACGCTCCATACCCGGCTGTAACGTCCATGCGAGCGATTAACGAGGAAACGAACCCGTTGATTGCGCCTGCAA